AGTACAGAAATTTAAAGAATATAGATTTTTTGAAGTTTTCAAACAACTCAGAATTTCAAAGTATGGGATCTCCAAGTTATGCATGTTGAGAAATCAAAACCTTCTTCCGGTTCTTTCCCTTTTCTTATTACCTCTCTCTTTATTTTCTCTCATTTTTATTTTTTCAATTTCCATTCATTTTTTTACTATTATTTTTTTCTATCCTCACGGCCCAAAATTTCCCAACTTTTACCCAACTTTTTCCCAAGTCGAAAAAGCAGGGGGGGAGACTCCCCCCGTCCCCCCCATGGCGACGGCCCTGTCCGTAGGTACTTTCAGATTCATTCCCGATATCACAAAATGATATGTCTAACTTTTTTCGTCTATGGCTTGTGACGTTCCTCTTCAGTGAAAGAGGAACGTAACAAGCCATAGATATGTTGTTGAGAAAAATGTTATCATAGACATAGCTGAAAGCAACAGTATCCTAAATTAATAATGAAATGTAATTGACAAAATGGAATTTTCAATTAACTGACGGAAATGAAGAAGATTTAGTGAGGTGTTGCAGAAATAAAATAGTTATCAACTTCGAAGAGGTGAAAAGGGTACCTAATAAAACACTGACAAAAATATTCTTTCGTGAAAAACAAATAATCAAGAGTTTCAGTGATTGAATTCATTATTATTTTTCTATTGAGAGTAATTAAGAAATAAGGCTAGTTCCATCTCAGCGCCAATGACTTGGATAGAAGTTAGTGAGGTGGAATAATTTACTTACTTACAAATGTCAAACCAAGCAGACATAACCGGATTTATAGATATATGAATATAGTTGCTGTTTGAAAACCTAGTCCATAATACATACACGCAGGTAATGAAAGTTTACCTCAAAAAATCCCACCAATACTACTACATTCACTTTTGTATATGACCTCAATCTATTCAATCCTTGAGATTCTGATAGTTCTGGAAAAATTGACGAGGACCAAGCTGTCTTGGTACTCCTTTTCGACGGCAATGACGTAGTAGGTCACATTTCAGTGACAATCATATCACTATATTCTGTAAGAAATCTCAGCTCCATTCTCTTGCAACCCAAGANAAAAACATGTTTTGAAAATGTTGCAAATGAAGGAACTACATTCATATGAGATTGAAAAAAAGAAATTGTAACTGGTGATATTGAAAATGAAACTTTTAAATAAATGATGTAATTCGTTTCAAATACCACCTTCATACCTAGTTCCTTGAAAATCTTTCCAAAGTTCTTCGTGTATTGGTGGTGTGAAACTGAGATATATTTATTTTGGTTTTCGTCGTTTCTAATAGTCAAGATTTCGTTCATTCTTAACTTAAACTTTTTCTTCCTTATAATATCATCTACAATACCCCTCGTTACTGATTGCAATTTTCGGTATTGTCCGTTTTTTTTTCGTGAACCTCTCATGTGTGAGAGGAAATGTCAAAAAACGATGCACGTTTGCAATGTCCATAGTGATATGAACTGCCAGGAATATATCTGTAAGTGCTTGTTTCATTCCTAAATTCATCGTATTCTAGCTTTTGACAATGGCTTCTCATAACCAAAACGTCAAGAAATGGAAGTTGCCCTTTATTTTCTAACAAATACGTGAATTTTGTTGATGGAAACAAAGTTCTCAATATTCGACTTTTTGTTATCAAATATCGCAGCCATATCCTAGAGAAATAATTTTGACTTTTCTTTGGTTTCCACTTACGAATTTGCCCATGAACAGATTTGCCAGGTAGAGGAACAAGGGACAAGAAATTATTTTTCTCTACTGATTTCCTGAGGTATTGCACGGTCTGTGAAATTGGGACGCTAGGAAATAAAGAACTAGTTCTACAGAGCCTTTTATGAATGCCAAAGGACAAAGTCGAGAATTCGGAAAAGTCTGGAATTTACGAAATTGCATGTAAGAACTGCGATGCAAAATGTCATGGACAGACTAAAATATCTATTAAAATAAGATATGAGAAACACTTAGCGTTCGTAAAATATGGAAGACCAGAAAAATCAGCAGTCGCCCATCACATTTTGCAACAAAACCATTCCATAGACTTTAGTTCATTAAGATTAGTTAGACAAGTTAACACCAACAGGCATCTAGATGACTACGAGAGTGTTGAGTTGAAATAAGTAACCATAATTATATTATGAATAAAGATGGTGGACCAATACCTAATAGTATACTTATTATAGCTTGTTGAAGTAATATTTTGATTATCAAATTCAACTGTCTATTAGATATGGCTACATTGTAAATTTAATTTAAGACTAGTAGATAAGGCAACATTGTAAAATTAATTTAAGATAATTAAGACGCAGGTACCTAGCAGAGGTATATGGTATAAATAAGGACAACATTGTATGTATATTTAGTTTAATCTTTCTCTTGAAGATGATCACTTGGTGATCGAAACACGCGTCGAGGTGTAAAAACCAACGGTTTGGTGTTGAGAAAAAACTCCAGTAATATTCATTACTACACCGAAGGTTCCAAACAGTGCATCACAACTCTCTAAGATTATTTTTGATGAGAGGTCTAACCAAAAATCATGTACCTACGATCTGTGGAAAAAGTCAATGACGGGTCAATTTCAAAAAATTTTATTGTAATATTTCATATATGCTCTCAAATATCCCANAACAAATGCATGAATCAATTAAATTCAAACAAATAAATTGTTAGGTGAATAAATTGAGGAATGAATAATTTGTGACAATAAAAAGTAAAACGGCGTTCCATAGAAAACTGAATAAGAAAATTCTAACTGAACAATGATGTTCATTGTCGAACTGACATTTTTGTCGTTTTTATAAACAAAAAATAACTTAAACCTTATCGGGTTGTTGGAATTGGCATATGGCAGATAAAAAGGAATATTTCTAGAAATACCGATATTAATGTTTGTCTTCAGGAAATTATTAAATGTTCCGCTATTTAGTAGTAGGTGAAGATATTGATTTCATATTCTAAGATTGTGAAGTATTCGTCAGGAGCTTCAGAATGATGTGTCACAAGACCCCCCTTTCCGTTTAATATTTTTCCCATATGGTGCCCAGTCGCCATCTTGAAAGTTTCATCTGTCAATTCCACTTTAAAATAAAGTATTTATGCATTAATTTCATTATCCCAAATCTCAAGTGTTTTAATTGATCCTTTCAAAAAATAAAAGGAGGGGGAAAATAAAGAAATGCACTACATATTTCAAATTAGTGTAAAGAAAGCTAGTTTATGAGAGTAAAAATATGCTTTTATTTACACGAAAGAGGCAAGTTTTTGCTGAAATCATTGAAGAATAATTACAGTATGGTACAAGTGTAAATAAATATTCCTAAGTCAAGAATAAATAAATATGCTATACAAATAAAATGTGATATTAATACACAAAACAATATCAAAAAACTTCTTTTCGAAAATTGAAACCAAACTGGCCACATTTTACTCGCAAGATCCTAGCAAGTTGGGGCGGGCCACAGTAGAAAACCGTCACTTTTCCTTTTTTCTGATCGGAAATTGTTTTGAAAACTCTGTCCCAGTTTGGACGACCAGCATTGGTGCGAGTTTTCAATCCCGTTATCAAATCGCGCTTTTCCTGAAAAATTAGGTCATTTCAATAAGTACACAACTTTTGAATTATGACATTGAGTGAAATTTTTCAAATACATGAATAGAAAATAATATAATACCTATATTTTGAAATGAGTCGTTGAGTACATCAGAATTGAAACAAATACAGTTCTCTAACTTAACAAAATTCTGTATGTTTGTTGATATTGAAAATACAAAATTGTTCAAATTGGTAAAGAAATAATTTATTTTTTGCAGTAAGTACGAATAAACTAAGCATTAAATAATGTATTTTTTGACTTTATGAATGAAATGCCCTGAATGTCTTATATTTCTTAGTAGATTTGAAAAGTAGATGGCAATCTTTTATAAGGTGGAAAATAAAGGGTCAATGCAAACGGAACAGAAGGTGAACTTGGGCTCTATTACTCGAATCAACGGTTATGCCTTGCAATGTTTCTGTTTCTCACTGTTCACTTTCATATTAGCATAACGTTCCTTATGAATTTCATTCTGCAAATATTAACACAGAAAATAGTCACGAGGGGTGAAATCATGAGTCCTAAGAGGCCTTTGGATAGTAGCCATGCAGTTCTATCCATCTATGATTGAACAATGCCACCAGAAGTTAATATTTACCTCTATAGTTATAAACAGATAATCTACCCCGCTAGAAATACAAATTTGTTCTAATGAGATCATGTACTTGATCAGAGTCATTTATTCATCAGTCTCATTTCGATACAGCTTGAACTAAGTAGGCGTGCTGAGCATTACTGGTGAATGTGCGAAGCAGTTAATACAAAGAGAGAATGCGTAAAACTGTTCCTTTCGGAGATAATCATAATTTTTTTCCAGAAGTAACCCGTGTTCCTAGGACTACACGAAAGTTTTTTTAGGTCTCTTTTTCGGGGCACCGTTGAAAAATTGTAGAACAAGGTCTGAAACTTAGTGACGGTTTCCAACATATCATTGGCTTGGTTTCCCAAGCATTTCTATAAAATATCAATATAAAATAATACCTAGAAACAGGTTATTTCCAGTAAAAACTGAACATATTGCACGTCAGCTTAGTATCTTGGATATTGACGAAGATCAACCTTACTTAACATGAGTGTGGTAAGTTATGCTTATTTCACTCCTCACTTCATTCATTAAAATAAAAATAATGAAGTAATACATGAATGAAACATACATGTTCACTGAACAGGTTCTTGTTTAAAATGGAGTAAAACATGTGTCTGAAATACCTACTTTCAGTATCATTTTATAAAAGACTTATTTGTCGGGAAAAAAATGGTGATTTGTAATTGAGTTAGGCTATTTTATGTTGACTTTTGTTAACATTTGATAATCCTTATTCAATTATTGTACCAGATTATGGTTCCATTTCTTTAGAAAAAGAACACAGTTTACCTTTTTATAGACCTATTAGCTTGAAACAGAAAACCATAAGTAGCTTTGAATTAGGTCTAATAATTATGTCAACAGTTTGTTCAGATACCACTTCATTTTCTTCCGAAATAATACAACTGATTTGATAATAGATACTATAAAAGTGATTAAAAACCAATTCTCATTTCGAGATGAACAGTTGGCAAACCGTAAAAATATTAAAAATGAGTAGAGGGCACCCATGTTATCTTTTGTGTTTCATCCTGATATATCTCCTTGCTACAGCAATGGATAGAGGTACATTTGCTATTTCTTTTTTACGGGGATAAAAGTCCCGTGATATGTAATACTTTTTTAAACATAGCTACTTTTTGGGAGCAAAATAATCTTTTGCATACCTCCCACCAAACAATGTGTGCCCTTTTCAACACTATCCTCTGAATAAGTTTTACATGATGCTCTCGCTGCAACATTACAAATTGTGGTGATTATCCCTTTCGACGACCATTAAGAGAAAATTGTAAACATTTCTCGCATTTCTCCTGACCTAATTGTGTTAATGACGTGCTATTCCTTTAAAATTTGTCAGTATATATGATGGCGCATATTTGAATTCTGGACATTTCTGGAGGAAATCTCCATGCATTAGAACATTATTAACATCTGAAGGTACATATCGCACATATGGTAAATGTTCCCTCGTGTAATGTTAGATGATTGGATGAAATGTGATTGATACCTTTTTTTTTTGGGTTCTTCATTTTTTGACGGTTATTTTCCCATATTCTTTCTGGTTAAATCGCTTTGGAACGTGTTTGTAGTTGTATTATGAACAAATCTGTCAATATTGGGTTTGTAACCTAATGTTGAAATATCTTATAGACCTCATGCTCTTAGTCATTACAGTCTTCAAAATGATATTTTATGGAGAGTATTATTCTTTCGTTTTAATAGTCCGTTTCCTTCTCTTAACACCCTCCTCCATCCTTTCATTTTTTTCCGGGCTAATTTATATTTAAATATTGTCTGTAAATTTATTTTCCACTTTTTTCATCAATTTTCTAACTGCATTTCTTTTTCTTCTGAATGTCCTTCCATCCTCATTTTTGAGCTCACATCAAATTGCACCTTTCATTATCATCTTCATTATCAAAATCTCCAACCTTTCTTCGACGTTCCAGGCTATCAAGGTTGCACATGATATTCGCGTCTCCAATCAGGCGGATGACTCTTTTCTGGATGGAATTCAGCAACTTTAGGGTATGTTTGGGGGCAGAGCTCCATACATGAGAACAATACTCCAAAGAAGGTCTGATCTGAGCTTTATAAAGTATCACAAGTTGCTGAGGTGTGTATAGTTTTCTGGTTCGGAACAGTGTTCCGAGCTTTTGAGAAGCATCCGTTGCAATTCCAGCGACAGGATTGTGCCAAGACATATTGGTGTCCATTTTAACCCCCAACAAACTCATCGAAGCAGAAAGTGGAACTGTCTGACCTGACATTATTATATCCGGTTCGGAGATATTTATCTTCTTGGAGAAAACCGATGCCTGGGTATTTGTGGCATTGAATCGAACCTAGTTACTTCTACCCCACTTCTAGATCCTCATTAAGATACTCAACCTCCTGCTGCCGGTGGAGATGTGTCTCCGTAACCGATGTCCTGGGATAGAAATGGAATGACGAGGCAAGTGTGCTGTCGTCAGCAAAGCAATATATTGGATTCTTGGTTTTTTCCAATGAGTCGTTGATATACTTTCAAAAACTACACCTCACGATTTGATCTCCACAAACTTTATTTGAAAAAATATATAATCACAACATGTTTCGCTAGCAAAGTAGCTTTTCAAGTGCATGATTACTTCAAATTATTCTTACATTAATATTTATATACTACAGGTAACCATAATTGAGATACAATAGAAAGAGGGTTGGATACAATATGGATCCCTTGGAAACACCAGCGTTGATGATGAAAGTATTCGAGAGATATGCATCGACTACCATTTGCAGGAAACGTTGTTTCAGGAAGCTGGAGAGCCATATACAGAAAGGATACGACAAGCCATAGCATCGAAGTTTCGCCAGCAAACCCTCATGCCACACACGGTCAAAGACTTTAGAAATATCAAGCGTAACAGACCTTGACTCTTCATGTTTCTCGATTGCGTTATTCCATATATGGGTGACATACGATAGAAGGTCGCCTGTTGATTTTTGTTTCCGAAAGCCATATTGATGATCGCTCAAAATGTTGAAGCCTTCCAAATAATTGAGGAAATGGTGGTTTACGACTTTCTCTATAGTTATTTGGAAGATTTTTCTTTCCCTTTTTGGGAATAGGCTGAACGCGAGCAATCTCGCGGAAAAGAAGGAAAACCCCCTTTATTGTAAGACAGGTTGAAAAGTCTGCAAAATACTGATGTGAGTGAATATTTTAATAGAACTTAAAATTATCTTTCCAAAAATGTAGCACACTTGATGTTTTGCTAGTCATATTTGAAATACAGAGCTTTTAAGTTCTTTCATGTAGGTAGACTTTGAAATGAACACTTTGTTCAAGTAGGCTTTAGACGATGGGGTGATAAAACAGAACGCAAGTCTTTAATGGTAGCTGTCAAATTTTGATTTGAGCAGTAAAGACGCTTTTCAATTAGTGGTTTTTGTTCAATTTCCAAACACATTCGCAATGTAGTCTGAGAATTATGAAAAATGGAATATGATAGGCTATTTTATAGAAACCGGGTAAAACGCAGAAGAAGCAAGCAATTTCTATCGCGAGAGATATCCAGAGATAAGACAACCATTTAGAGACATTTTCGCAAGATTGCGACACAACCCAATTGATGGTGGTCAAATTGAAACGAAAAGGTCAAAATTGTATGAATCAAATAAGGATAGGGAGTTGGAAGAAATAGTCGTTTTAGAAGCTGTTGGAAATAATCCCAAAACGCGAAATTCGAAAATATCAACATGCCTACCAAGAATTAAGGTTAGGAGAATTTTGGGAAAACATAAATTCAAGCCATACAAGACCAGAAGAGTTCATCAACTCAGACCAAGGGATTTTGAAAGCCGCATGGCATTTCGCCAGTGGTTTCTGGATAGTTGTAACCAAGTGCACGATTTTTCGTTAAATTGTATTCGGACAGACGAAGCTTATGTGGGTAGTGCCGGCATTTTCAACCGCTACAATTCTTATACTTGGGCACAACAAAATCATCATTTTATTGTGGAGCAGAGAAGTCGAGGAAGATTTGGATTTATTGTGTGGGCAGGTGTTTTCAGTGGTATATTTATCATTTATAATGGCACCCTCAAAACATTGGAGCTCAGAAAAATATATTTTCAACAAGACGGGACTTCGCCTCACAACACTGCAATTGTCATCAATTTTTTGGCTTCAAATTAGATAGGACCTAACAGTTGGCCGGCCAGGTGACCGCACCTAACGCCTATGCACTTTTACCTCTGGTAAAGGTTGAAAGATTTTATTTTTGAATTGCCGACCAATGTAGTATACATTTTTATCAGTTTTATTGAAACTATGCATTCTAATTACTGCTGTGAAAAGTTTTCCCAACATGTGATAGCTACTACTTAACGATTTCTTTCTGTTTTATCGCCGCTTTATCCAAAGCGTACTTGATCAAAGGGTGCGTTTTAAAGTCTACATGAAGGAAAAGCTCTGTATTTCAAAGATGACTCTAGCAAAACATCAAGTGTGCCACTTTTTTGAAAATGTGATTTTGAGCTCTATTGAAATATACAGGGTGTCTGAATATTACTGGAGTTTTTTTCCAACACCAAATCGTTATTTTTAACACCTCGACACGTGTTTCGATCACCAAGTGATCGTCTTCAAGAGGAAGATTAAACTGGAAAACTTGCAACGCTAACCCTATTTATCTATACAGGTGTACCATACAGGTATACCCTGCAGGTATACCACACCTTTGGTGTTTTAAATTAATTTTACAATTTGCCTTATCTATTAATATTTTACAATATGTCCTTATGTAATAGTTAGTTGAATCTAATATTTAAAAGTTATAGCTATATATTGATTATAGTTATATAAAGTTATAGCTATATAAAAGTTAATTTCACAATATTGCCTATCTACTTGTCCTAAATTTATTTTTACAATGTGTCCTTATGCCATATAGTCATAAAATCTAATAATATTATTCAAACAAGCTATATAGTATGCTATTTGGTATTGGTCCGTCAACGTTATTCATAATATTATTCTGTTTACTTATTTCTACACTCTCATAGGCATCTAGTTGCCTGTTGTTGTTAATTTGTCTAACTAATCTTAATGAACTGAAGTCTATGGAATCGTTTTGTTGCAAAATATGATGGGCGACTGTTGATTTTCCAGGTCTTCCATATTTTAAGTCTGCTAAGTGTTCCTTATATCTTACTTCAATAGATCTTATTGTCTGTCCATAATATTTTGCAACGCAGTCCATACAGTCAATTTAGAAAATTCCAGACTTTTCTGAATTCTCGACTATGTCTTTTGGACTTCCCAAAAGGCTCTGTAGTGTATGACTTGTTTTAAAAACCACCTTCATACCTAGTTCCTTGAAAATCTTTCCAAAGTTCTTCGTGTATTGGTGGTATGGAACTGAGATATATTTATCTCGGTTTTTGCCCGTTCTAAAAGTCGAGATTTCGTTCATTCTTATATAGACAAATAGGGTAAGCCTTGCAAGTTTTTCCAGTTTAATATTTCTCTTGAAGATGATCACTTGGTGATCGAAACACGTGTCGAGGTATTAAAAATGACGATTTGGTGTTGGGAAAAAACTCCAGTAATATTCATTACTACACCAAAGGTTTCAAATAGTGCATCACAAATATACAGGGTGTCTCATTAAAAAACAGTTTTCCATCAATAACGATTGAAGCTTCATTTGAAAAAATTAGTTTTTCACACCATTGAATTCTACGTTAAAAAGTGCTTTGGAAATATTTTCATAGAAACAAAAAAATTCTGACAGGAAAATAGTTACAGCAACTTTTCGAAAATGCACATTTTTAAAAAACGTTACGGTTTTCACCATGAGTTTGTCATAAAATTTGACCCTCAGACACAGCCATCAGTTTTTATCTATCTTTAAAGTTTCCCTTTAAAAGTGTCCAATTTGGACACTCGGTACATTCGGCAACATGCATATCTATATCTCAGAAACTATTGGATGTACAACATTCTTTCTTATTACAAATGAATCCCTATGGTCCAAAACATTAGAAATAGTGTATAATCCAAAATGAGGTATTTTCACTTCTTTGGTAGGCGGTAATGTTGCTTTTTCATTCATTCGCTCGCAGAGTGACACATCAGAACAAGAGTATTATTTATTGGTAATTTATTTGGTTAGTACCTCGAATTATTTATTGTTTGTATCCAGCAGTTATAATTGTGATTCATGTAGGTATTCAGTGAAGATACAATTAATTATTATTTTGATTCACAACTCTTATAACCTCTTCTTTACTTCATATAAATATTGTAATATGTTTTTATAATTGCCATATTCAACCAGATAAAAAACATACAAGACTTTCAATTACAGCCAAATACACTGTATTCAAAAACTAAAAACATGCGTTAGACTGTTTCTCTTTTCTTGCATTCTCATGATCATAAAATGTTACCAGTTGCCAGTTTGAACGATTTTATATCTTCAATAATAACAAAGTTATGGTGCGCATGCAATTTGGAACAGACATTGAACTCAGATCAAAAAATATTGAAACCCATTACCTTCTCATGTAATAAATCCAAAGCAAGCTGTAATCCAACTGCTTTCATATCCGTTTTCTGCAGAGCACTGGTAATGTACATGTGCATTTCCAAAAATCTCTCCATGGCTCCTCCGAGTTCCGCCTGTTCGATTTCCAACTGGGAGAGCAAGTTCACAAACCATTCGAATGAACGTTGATCTCTGTTGATCCAAAAGAAATCAACCTGCGAATAAAGTATGCTACAATTCATATGTGCCATGGAAGGACAAAACTATTGACGACGGCAAAATTTTTAAGCGGTTTTATTTATCTTGCCCTGTTTGTTGGTTTGTTTGTTTGTTTGGGTAAAATTTAGTAATTGAAGTTTGACCCCCTTCCTGTTGAGAGATTAATGTGATATTTGTTACACACATTCAATTTTGACGACAATACAATTTAATAAATTGAGTTATATTGTAAATTGTATAAAAAGAACTTTGTCAACTCAGAATCGGGATAGAAGCATGGATCTCCCACCCAAGTCAAGTTTTGTATCGTGTCGAGGACTGTGGGGGCGTCAGGGTAGCTAAAAATGATGTCGTTAGCGATACACCACCCAAGTTGAGGTATTAAAATGTTTCGAGAACTGTGTGGCATTAGGGTGCATGAAAATTGGAAACTAAAAACTTGAAAATAGAATAAGTAAAAAAATATGTTGAACGATTTTATTGAAAAAAAAAGATAATAATGATTCAGTAGTATTTACATATATACTCAGGTTACGCTACTCCCAACGATTTTAATATTTTTTTGTCTGATCAATACTGTAGATTGCTGAGGAAAGTGGTGAACAGTAGATGAACTACACCGGTTCTGGCCCACTCCAAGGTCGCGCGTCATTGGTAAGCGTTTCAGAGAAAGACTTTAGTGAGTGGAAGAGAGAAATATGTGACGTAATCGATGCAGGATGGAATGAGTATCGGAGAGATTCAAAGAGCGTGGGGCCCCTTGGGACTCCGCTTCACTTCTCGGGCCCACTTGGGACTCCGCCTCACCTCTCGGGCCCCTTTGTCACGAACCAGTCACGTGGTCCTAATAAAAAAAGCTTACTGGTATGAGATTGTAACTCAGGTCGTCGACATGGTAGACGTTGTCCTTAGCCTCGGCACCAACGTGGAATATTGAAAATAATCGCGAATTGTTGATATTTATATCGGTTGATTGGTCGGGATCGAAATTTTTTGATTTCCGTATAATGTTGTAAGGGATATTGTAACGTCATTTCCTTGTAGAAGACAGGAAAATATCCTTAGATTTGGGGAAGAATTGATGTTTCATGTAAAGGTGTGTGTGTGTGTGTAAGAATGAGAGACACGTGTGACGTAATCGATGCAAAGAGAAATGAGGATGGTATCGAGGTTATACGTCACAAGCGCAAGCATGACAGGTTCGGTGTTGTCGGTTGTAAAATAAATTGTTGTTTATGGGGCAATGTTGCATTTCAACGTGCGTTTCAATATGTCATAAGGACAACAAGTCGAATATTTGTTAACCAAGTAAGCATCATCAGAAGAAGGAGGAAACGCCACCCAAAAGTGTCGAGGAGTTACGTGTTGCAGAGATAATCTTATATCCCAGAGTTCATTTGGCATATTGCGGGTATGAAGTTGGATAATTTTCCCTCTTATTTCATCAAGAGTTTTTGATTTCTAAAATTCATGACTATAAGCACATTTTTTCAGATACCCCCAAAGAAAAAAATCATTCATAAATCTGGTGATCTGAGAGGCCACTTATTCGTACCAAGTGTGGAAATCAATCGACCAGGAAACATATTTAGAAGAAATTGTCTCACTGGTTGTCTATTCTGACACATCAATAGGCGAATATTCCATCAATTGTTATTATGAATTCACTCAACACAAATATGTTGTTTGTGGTTAGCTTCAGCCTAGTTCGAGGAATGACACTCTGAAAGGAATTCAATTTTGAATCATGGGAAATCATCGATTTCATGCTAATGATGGATAAGTACTACTTCGCACTAACGAGAGGCCAAACAGCCAGAAACCGGCCTACAAGTGTGCCCGTTCCAATATTTGAAAATCGATTCCGGCAGTTGTATCGCCAACAGCATATGCAGGAAATACTTCTGTGAAAAATCCTGCACTGACACCTGTCGAATATAATCCAACGCCCTTATTGGTATTAGCCAGGAGAGTAGTTGTTTTCAGATGGGTGTCAGTCCATTAACCTATAGAGTAGATGAGTTGAGAGTGGCCTGAACGAATTGTTAATTTAAATAAATCAAGTATGCCCGCTTATACTATATGTGATAAACAGACAAATGTTTCACAAAGAAATAAAAAAGGGGATAAAATAAAAAAAAAACTCGATACTTCTAGGAGATCATTAGTTCTAATAATATACTCTACTTTTTTGAATACCTCTCGGAATGTACATATTAAATTTTTTTCTATTTTTTGAAATTTTATAGAATATTTCTGAGTCATTTGATTCATTCAGAAAAATCTATGAAAGAAAGGTTGGTTGAATTATCATATGAAGTAATCAGAATTTCATTCATTGGAAAAGTAATTCTTGCATAATTCGGAGTAATATTGACGTATCGTTAACAAGTATTATGATTTTCCATTCAAGTTTGATTTTTTACTTATAAATGAGAGTATCTCCAAGCACTAAATGCCTTTCTTGACCACAAATTAAACACTAAACTTGTAGCCACCTGCACACACTATCGTAGTACGGATTGAAAAGGTAACGATGTTTGGTAAAATCAAATAGATCGAATAATGAAGTAGGTATTACTTACTTTTCTGAGGTTCATGACGGTGGCTGGTATATCACTCGCCCAGGAATATGTACACTTAGGACATGTATGTCTGGCTTTCCAGTAACGGTGCATAATAGATTGCAAGATCGATGCAAAAGGAGTAACTCCGATTCCTGTTGCTATAAGAACAGCATGTTGGGCTCTGAAGATATGGCTCGACGGTGCTCCGTACGGACCATCCAAGTAAATCTACAAATCAAATTATGTTTTCCATATTTAAAGTGGAGAATGTATTCACCAACTGAAGAAACATGGAGAGAAAGAAATAGAAAGCATTAAAAAAACTGTTTCACTTAATTGCAATAAACATGACTGAAAAAGTCAATTTTAGTAACACTACTGTGAGATATCTGTTTCACCATAAAACAGGATAGATTCTTCAGACGTGTTCAGACACATAAGTGTTCATACGTACGATGTGGATTTTCAGTAATTTTATCGGCCAATTCCAACCATATAAAAAAAGCTAATATCTGTATCTGTAGAGTAGGGGAGGTGACTGTAGGCCCGCAACACTCAGGCCACATGTGATCCGTTATTCATCCTCCCGATAAGTTGTCCTCCTAGGTTATTGTCCATCCTGTCCTTCCCAGGAAGGTGGACAGGTCACTGGGAGACATCTCCTTTATATCGGCAGGTGTAGGCCAAGACTCGCCGAATACACACTCTCTTATTGACGATAACTCCGGACACTCGAATAGGACATGCATAACAGTTTCATTTTCCTGTTCATACATCCTGCATAGAGGTGTATCCACTAGCCTTTATTATGGAGGTGTTTTCTTAGTTGACAGTGGCCAGTCAGAAATCCTACTGTTAAGCGTAAATTTTTCCTGGTTTTCGCCAGATATTTCTTCGGCGCCAGCTTCATAGGGTCGCCCAGGGTAATCCCGACGAAATTGAATCCGTTGATTCCATTTCCCATTTCTTTAGAGATTGAGCATGGGTGTGAAGTTTGGCTAGTTCCGCAATTGTCGAAGTAATCAGGCCGTAGGTGTCACTGGGTCCTAAAATTCTTAGTCCTTGGCTAAAGAGTCGGCAATGCGATTAACTTTACTCCTGTCGTGCCCTTTAACCCACCTGAGGATGAGTTTATTATCTACCGAGGCTTTGGCAAATCTTGGTGGCACTCTAGTACTAGCCCTGAGTTAACACGTTGTTAACAATATTTATATAAAAATAGCTGTTTCGGAAGGGCTTTCCCTTCCAGTTTGTGTCTGAAAGTTACTTCTTTGCATGATCTACACATCTTTGTGAAACAGAGCATCAGGCATAAAAATAACTTTCCAAAATTTGATAAGAATGTAATAGAGCTAATTTAAGAAGAAGTATCTGATATTACCGAAGAAGACTGGCAGAAAAGGATGAAAAAAGTAATTTTAGTTGAAAAAAGACTATAAGGAGATTGGACCATATTGGTGGTGGAAATAAATTCATTATTGATTTAAATAACGACAGTGATAATGAAACAAAATATGGAAGAAGAATCATCTGAAGCTTTCGAAGAAAGTTAGTGAAATACGGAATATTGTCGTATTCCGCCCAGTCGAAGTACTGGGCTGTTGTTTAAAGAATACTCTTTGTTATATAGTCGAGCTTTCAAGAATGTTTATTCCCTTTATCAAGACATCTACAAGAAATTGAGAAACATTGCAGCAAAATTGTAAAACAAATAGGTAAAAAATCTACTTACTTACTTGAGGTTATAGTAAAACGTCAGAAAAACAATGAGAAAAACAAAGTTAATACTTTTCATCATGTAGAAAAGTGTCACACATTCAATTTTAGAGTTTCAGAGACAAAATACAATAATTTTATTCAATTTAAACATTTAAAATATTTTGAAATTTTGAAAATTATTTCACTGGCTATGCTTGGCACTTACTAGTGGCATGGTAGCGACCATAAAGAGAGAGGAAACAGGAAATATTTGAAATATGATAATTGAAATTCTATATAGACATTTGAAGTTTGAAAATTTGACAATGAAAAACAAAACAGGATTACCAAAAGGCACACCAATACCATGGTTGACACTAGCAAATTCAAAAGTCTCTGAATATGGGTGCAGTGCTGGGTACAGATACTTTTGAATTTGCTAGTGTCAACCATGGTGTTGGTGTGCCTTTTGGTAATCCTGTTTTGTTTTTTTACTGTGAAATTTTCAAACTTCGAATGTCTATATAGAATGTCAATTATCAAATTTCAAATATTTTCTGTTTCCTCTCTCTTTATGGTTGCTACCACGCCACTAGTAAGTGCCAAGCATGGCCAGTGACATAATTTTTGAAATTTCAAAATCTTTCAAATGTTTAAATTAAATAAGTTCATTGTACTTTTTCTCTGAAACTCCAAAATTGAATGTGTGACACTTTTCTACTTGATGAAAAGTATTAACTTTGTTTTTCTCATTGCAACGTATGACTTTTTACTATAACCTTAAGTTAGTAAGTACAATTTTTACCTATTTGTTTTACAATTTTGCTGCAATGTTCCTCAATTTCTTGTAGATGTCTTGATAAAGGGAATAAACATTCTCGAAAGCTCGACCATATAACAAAGATTATTCTTTAAACAACAGCCCAGTACTTTGACTGCACCCCCAACAATATTCCGTATTTCTCTTTAACTAGTCAGTCAAGACTACCCTTCGTTCAGAAGTATTTTCAATTATCACCCTGTTATTTGAATCTCTACTTTTCCACTCACCTATTTTATATAGTTATTGTGATTCTTATAGAATCAGAAATGATTATTGAATACCAAAATTAGTTACCTCCCTAACTATAATATTGGAAAGAGGAGCTGTTGGAAGGTAAATTGCACTATATCGTTTACTTGAACTATAGCTTCGTTATTTTTTGCTTGGGACGACCTGAGTCCCGCAACAGTATCAAATTCCATTTTTCTACAGCCATTTCAATTAGAGTCAGGTTTTAGATCGGGTTGAGTGATTTTTATTCCAATAAATTTCATATGATAGGCTTTAAACTGAATTTCAGTCGAGTGAATCGTTTTTTTTAAAGTTTCTCAGGGTACTGATTCAGCATTTTGAAACTTGTATTCATTTCAATTGTTTATCACAATTTTGAGACGAGCGATAGTACAGACAATAAATCTGATGTGAGTTTTACATCAAACAGATACCATTGATATATTTTTCATTAACTATAAGCTGTTTTTTCATGCAACACAAAATTTCAAGCGGGTCAGTTATACAAAGCATTTAGAGTTATTTCAAACAAGATGCACTAGATTATACATGCAACTGTCACCTCTGTTCCAGCTGAATCGGATATTCTTATGATTACATCCTCCACCCTATTTTCTCTGCGTGCAGATCTCTTAACCTGTTAATTCAAATATAAAAATAACATGACCTACAAAATTGATTCCTACACTTACAATGAAAAATATTATATACATGTTTTATATGAGCAAAGCTTGGCTTAAATTCATCCGGACACTTCCCTTTGAGGAAATTATATCTTCAAAAACAGCTTCCAGTCTAGGAATCTTCAATGATCATCATATATTATGTATTAGCTTCAACCAAACATTTGAAAACATGCCAGCTGCCATGATTTTTGACGATACATGTTGCACTTCCAATATATCATTTATTATTGATGGTGGATTCAGTCATCAGTCTTGAGTCATACGTTACAAGTTTAAAATACGATGACTAACAATTGTTACGACAGAAAATTTACGACAAGTGAATAATAATGATAATAATACAGCAGGACTCGATACAATATAAGCGTAACCTCTCTATGGCCTGGATCGATTACCGTAAGGCATTTGATACAATATCGCAAGAGCTCATCTTGCATTTGCTCAGATGCCTAGCGGTACCCGACAAAATAGTGAGATGCATTGATCAAGTGATACCACTTTGGCGAACTTGCTTCACCATGACATCTGGTCAAGCCAGAGTCCAAACAGAGTGGGTCACTTTCAGAAGAAGTGTATTTCAGGGCGATTCCCTCAGTTCCCTTCTCTTCTGAATCTAACTATTGCCATTATTCATTGCGCTCAGAAATTATCGAGGGTATAACTGTGGCACCCCGGAAAGCGAATGCACAAGGTCACCATTTGTTTTATATGGATGATATTGAACTTTATGCCTCTGGAGAGAAAGATCTCCATCAGTCCTTGAGGGAGGTGGAAGAGTACACGCATGGTATCGGTATGAAATTCGGGATAGACATATGTGCAATGGCCTATTTCAAGAGAGGACGATACAGGGACTACGGAGAGGATGTGTAGCTCGTAGATGGAAGCATCCTACACCATTTGGATGCCTGAGAGACGTTTACTTACCTCGGCGTGGAACAACGCCACTCATAACGGGTAACAGCAGTGAAGAAGTCTCTCCGCGGCAAGTATCAGCACAAACTTTGACAGATCTGGTCATTAGAACTGTCGAGGAAGAACAAATTTGCGTCAACAAATATATTTGCTGTTCCAATCTTACTCTACTCGTTTGGAGTAGTGAAGTGGAGTCGAGAGGAGCTGTATCAATGCGACGTAAAGACCCGAAAAATGATGCATCTCTATATGAGTTTGCATCCCAAATCGTCCGTTCCACGGTTGTTGTACCCCGACAACAGAGAGTGTCCACATAACAGAATGGTATTGGATATAGCCTGTAAAAACGTCAAAAGTTCGGATCCCCCTCTCTGGATGGTCCGTGATAATGAGAGAGCAGGAATTGGAGCATTTCTCTTTAGGGCAGCTGCCCGAGCAGCTGAAGAACTCGGTTTAGTTTTCGACACTGAACAAGGTGACTACAACTCTGTTATCGAGTTGGAACCCGTTCGGCAAAAGCTCAAATAAATGCCGCAGAGATCACCTCACTTCTGCGGAAACACAAGGATAAATCAATGCATGGAGTCTTCTTCAATGACATTGGAGACCTGGACTTATCAAAGCGCCTGACTTTTGCTTTCCTCAGGTCAAGTGGGCTGACGTCGGAAACTGAGGGTTTCATCATGGCTTGCCATGATGGTGTCTTCAACACCTTAGTCTACCGCAGTTCCCGTATGGGTATAGAGGTTCTTGACACGATGTGCAGTGCCTGCCGCGAAACGCCCAAAATCTTAATGCACTTGCTATCAGCATGTTCAGCGTATGCGGTCTCAGCCTATATCCATCAACATAAGGTGGCCCTAAGAGTACTATATTACCATCTACGGCACTCTAACGGTATTGACAAGACACCGGTGTTGCCCTACGCTCGGGGGATATAGAATCCGCTGTGGGAAACGAGAAGTGACGAATTTATTGGAACTATTCATTCCCTACCCTCAAGCTCATACAAGCTAATAAGCCTGATGTAGTCCTTCTCGACCACCAGAGCAAAACGATATTTGTCGTGGAGTTTTCAGCTCCTGGCGAGACTAATATCTTCCGAAAAGAGGAGGAAGAACGGATAAAATATCGAGATTTTCACTTCGAACTCCGCAGACTTTATCCAGACCACTCTGTCAAGATGGTTGTTCTGATTATTGGAGTAATTGGTAGAATGATGCCCTCTCTACTCTCGAATCTTAAAATCATACCGGCTTGCCGCACCAAGGCAGAAATCTCAGCCGAACAGATGCAGAAGGCTGTCATTCTTGGCTCACTGCGCTTACTCAGGGTACATGATTCTCGGACCCAATAATCACTTACCCCACGGTGTGAGGAGTGGTTGTTGGTTGATAATGCTGGGGCGCCCTCCCGAATGTATCGGGGCTTCGGGAAATAGGGCCTGACTAGCGCAAACTACGATAAAAAAATAATATCAATAATGATAATAATAATAAGTGAAAAACTCAGGAACGGCTGGACCAATTTTTATTATTTTTGTCTTTTTGGATTTACAATTTTTATAATTTTTGTGTTTTTGAATTTGCTTTCTTCGGGAATAGAAAAATAAGTATTGAAAAATGATATTCCGTCAATAATAATAATGATAATACTAATAACAATAACGATAAAGCAGTAAATTGTCGCAGTGGTACCGCGCATGACTCATGATCGGAAGGTCGTGTGTTCGATCCCAACCTTGGCCAGATATGTTTCGCGAGAAAATGTATCTAATTAAAGCTGGGATGATTCTGCAATGTCTGACGGACTGTGTATTGTCAAAATGCTCTCTAGGTGGATCGGGGAGATTAACCACATCATTAATCACATCTCTGAATGGATTTTTGGTGAATGCAAATTGTCTTCGATTCCTAAGTGAATTACTGATTCATAGTTGAAATATTTTCCCAAAATTTCTTTGTCTTGGCAAGTAGTCAAGTTATTCGAAAGTTTCTTTTCTTTATGTTGAGATGTAGTTTGGGAATGCTGAATAATTTTTACAAGAAGTGGAATCGCCATATGACAATTCTTATAATATTTTAAGGTAAAATTGAATTTATTGAGTAGAACAAGCAATATTATGAGCCTAAGCTAACCAGCTTTTATTAAATTTCAGAATTCCGAAGTGATTTCCGTTCTCTCGATTCTCACTCAACAACTTCAACAAATTTTTCATTACCTACTAGCAAATCTACAATTAAATAACTCTACAATAATTCAGCAACCAAACTAAATGACTACTGAGTTATGGACTGATAAAAAACAAAATCTAGTTGAAGCAGATGATTAACTCACCTCTAAAGGTTTGCCAACTGGGTAGTTCATTGGTTGTAATTGATGTAACTGCAGAAAATTTGGCGTCAATTGACCTTCCCTAGCCACAGGAATCAGTCGTCCTTCTTCGGCTTGCCGTTCTGGACTCGATGTAAAACTTAAGGAGCTCATCTGACGACCTGTAAATGGAAATTAGGTATTTTTCTCAATCTGACTTGAATACACATATTCTATGATTTCGGAGGGTTTACCTTTCGAAAGGTCCACTATTGAATGAACTTCAAAATAATGTATTTCTTCTGCATAATCATTAACAATTTTATAAAATGTAGTTAGTGAAAACCTAGTGTATTTTTTATTTCATTTGAATATTATTAAAACAGACTTTCTGTAGTAGTATATGGACATATTTTGTCTGGTAATTTGTCTGATAATTAATTGTCTGGTAATTTTGAAATAACTGTCCAATATGATATACATACAGTTAATTTTCTGTTTTTTTACTATTTGGATTTTACTGTCATTTTATCGTTTCCAAATTCATCAAATGACATATATGGAGCACCACTTTTATTCTGAAGTTAGAAGTTTTTGGCAGTACAGTAGCATGGATTACCAAGAAACAAAATTGTGTTGCAATGTCGAGTACAGAAGTCGAATTAGCGGCTTTATGTTCAGCAGTTCAAGACACCTATGGTTCAAAAAGTTATTGAATGATATGAATATAAAGTGTCAATGTTTCTAAGTATATGAAGATGAACAAGGATTTATATCACTTGTGAAAAATTCTGAAAATAACAAACGTGCCAAGCACATAGATTTAAAATATAATTTCATTTGTGAAGATTAAAATAATAAAATATTGAGTATAAGCACCAAATTTCAATCGGCTGATTCATTGACGAAAGGTCTCAACCGAATTCAATTTAACGACAACTGTAATAGAATATTATTAGGATTGAGAGAGAGTTACTTTCAATACTTCGATTTTTGTTCATAACAAATTGAAAATAATTTAGGAAAATCTTACCCACGCTTCCAAATGAACTACTTGAATCTCTCTGTTCGCAGTTTTCCAAACTTGGTGTTTTGAAGGCGATAATAGTTGGCTTGTTTCGCATGTATCTGAAACTTTGTGCTAAACTTTTATTCTGTGGGCTCAAATAGGCGAGTCCTAGTGACTGCAATCTAGCTCTTCGGATCTGGCATTCGTTGAAACTCTTTTCAGATTCAGATCTCATGTATTCACGTAATCTGTAACACACGATTCATATCGAATATAGATACTCCGACGCAGCGATTCGTTTTTCTGATACTGTTCACACAATCTATGGTTAACCAGTATTGAAATCAACAGTCGATTCAAATAGTGCTTTTGACGTTTTACGGTGCATTCCATTTAAAACGAGTCACCCTGAATAACTTTTGGTACAATGATTTTCAGAAAAAATAAAAAAAACAAGTCAACAATAGTATACAGGGGGACACATTTGGACATATTCACATTTGATGTTACTTCCTCTATCGCACCCTCAGAGCATGTCACCAATTTTTTTAACTGAATCACCTTATGTTGTTTCGCATTATCAGATGCTCCACGATGAACAAATTTTAACAAAGTATAAAACATATGGTCTGAAGCTTTTGGTTCCGGAGCTATAAACTATTTGAGTTGAAAATGAGCCATCCTGAAATAATGATTTGCAGGAAAAATAAAAAAACCGGTCAACAATTGTACAGGAGGCCACATTTTGAAATATTCATTCTAGAGACACATACGGAAGCAATAAATCAGAAAAAGAGATTTTTTTATTAATTTTCGAATCGAAATCTGATGATTGGAAAATGAGAAGAAAAAAATTTTCTTTAGTAAATGTTCAAAAACGTTTCCACTAACTTCCATACAATGGTACAAATGAGCTTCCATTGCCGCCTTCATATGGTTGAGAATCTCGGGAGTTATTTCTCTGCAATGCCTCATGATATTCTCTCTCAAATGTTCCAATATTGTTGATTCTATCTCAAACACTTTAGACTCCAAATGACCTCATAGAAAGAAATCTTCAGGAGTGAGATCCGAAGACCTTGGTGGCCATTCTGTAGGACCTTTTCTGCCACTCTATAGCGATTAGGAGAATGATCATCCAAAAATTGTGGCACTGGAGCTGCATAATGAGGAGGTGCCCCATCCTGCTGAGAAACTCTTTCGTTTTCGAATAAATTTATATCCTCCTCAATTGCTCTATTGACGCATAGTATTATTCGATTCTCCGAAATTCCAAATATTTATCACTAGTCAAATTATCATTGATAAAAAAAGTCCTATGATGTGGTCACCTAAAATTCCTGCCCAAACATTCAGTTTTTGAGGTCGTTGGGTATGAACTTGACGGTATAAATGAGGATTCGTATCACTCCAATATCGATAATTTTGCCTATTCAAAACTGTATTCAAACTAAACGTGCATTCATTCGAAATTCTGATGCAAGTTGATCCGTTCAGTGAGACTTTCACAAAACTCGATACGTCTATTGAAATCATCTTCGTTCAATTCATAAACTATTCTGAAATCTTATATGGATGGAATTTGTACTTGTGAAGGGTCCTTAAAACAACTCCTGAACGGTTATGCTTTTTATTGTTAACAGATCCAGTTTCCATAAATTTTTTCAATAATTCCGCGACGTTTTTGTGGCATACATTTCTTCCTGGATGATTATCATTGAACATAAGGGCAGCAGCTCTAGCATTATTTTCAATCTGGTAATACAAACTCACTATTTCAATCCGTTCATGAAGCGTATAAACCATTGCTTCGCAAGAATTCACAAAAACAGAAATACCAATTGTAACTTCACCTGGTAGGTAATCGTTATTGTAGAATGAGACAAATACAAAATGAAGAGAATATCGAATTCAAACTTAACTAGGCAAAATAAGACTTTTTTGAAGTATACTTCACAAAAACACCTATGAAACCTAGGCAATAGATTGTACAAGTTCATTCATTCTGATGAAAGATCAGAAGAAGTTTTGTTTTAAACAACAATTTACCAACACGTGATTCGCTATACGATGGCTTCCTCAGGCTTACTCATGCTGACTAAATTCTCTCCTGATAGTGCTCTCTGTAATCTCTGAGTCTGTATCAGAAAGAGGTAAAGGAAACCCTGAAGTCAATTGAGTTGGTCACGAATGGATGTGATAAATGTATGGCGGTGATCATGAACCTACAACTACCCAAACTCTATTCCCTCATTAAATTACACAAAACTAATTTAACTATTGGAACTGAGGTGTCGTTTGTAACGGCTCCGTCGGTGAAAATCTCAGAAATGCTCATATAGTTAACTGAAACTTACAGTAATTTCAAACCAAGGTTCAGTGCAATTAGTGAATAAAAATACATTTTTTTGATAACGCAGTCCGGTTGAAAAACAGAAAATTGTGGATACACTTTTTATTTTTCTATCTCAAAATCATTTCATTTCAATGAAAAGTTTTATTTATGCAGCGAAAGGCTAACAATCAGAAACCCGTTGAGTCTTTTCTAGCTGAAATTTTCATGATTTATTTTCATAATGATCAGATGATTAACAGTTTCTTATAATGGTAAGATACGTAGATGATTTCTTAGTTTATTTTATTGGTACAGTTGGGCAGCTGGACAAGTCTGTCGAATTTGTCAATTCCATTCACCCATCAAATGAATTCACCACAGAAAAGGAGGTGTATAATTCAATGAATTGTTTAGACTTGACTTTTACTGAAAATAATAATAAACATGATTTTGCAATAGACCATCTCATACGGATATTGTCATACAGAATTCCTCGGCATATTTCTATCAGCATAAAGTGGCAGCATTCAATAGTATACTTCACAGACTATTGGATATTCCACTGTCATCAGCAGAAAGAACTAAATTTTATCAAATGAATTGTGGTCAACTACGGGGACAAGGTAGATATTATTGACTCCATTCTTTCCAAACAACTTCGTCATTTACCAGACCTATCCCACTTCAAGGAAAGTCGTAAGACATTGACATACTTTGGTAAACCCACCAATAACACCGCGCCCGTTTTTTTAAGAAGAAAGACTTGGACGTGTCTTACAGAACAAATAATAATTCAAGTAAATTTATCAAAAACAATAAAGACAAAACTTCAGTATCGGAAAGATCAAGAGTATACAAGCTGATTTGTGGTTCTTGTCCAAAACTTCATATGAGCCAAACAGGGAGACCATTTTCCAAAAGAAAAAAAGACCATAGGAAAGTTTCCACAATTGTAAATTATCTTATGGCGTATCATATTTGGAAGATGAAGGTTTGCATACTTGAAGATTGTTAGATTTGAAAAAATTTACTGAATTACCAAATAGAATTGAATTATCTCACTCTGTTAAATCTGTATTCTAATATGGAAATAGGTAAATGGTTTATTATTTTTTAAAGTTTGAATTTTCAATTAGTGTGTACTTGAACCGGTAAAATGACAAGTCATTAGATAGGTAGGTCGTATATTGTTGTTATATTGTTATACAACATATACCTTCAATTAGGTAGAACTAGGTTAGCGTGAAGATGCATGAGGAAGCTACTGTATAGCAAAACACGTGTTGCGTATTTGTAAACTGTATCGGCCAATTTCATCACCTACCCAACATAAAAGCTACATTCCATTAATGAGAAAGATGAGTAGATGAATAATAATGTAATAATGTTCCGTTATAAAATTATTGATATTAAAAAAATATTGTTTGAGGCTTCAAAAACATGTATGGAAATAAAATCTCGAATATGCACATTGTAGGTAACGCGTTTTAGGTGAAGTAACCCCCAAATTCATAAATACAAATATAAAGTTTTGCCACAGATATACGAGTAAGTATATGGATCACATTTTTCAAGATACTCCACTGAAATCTCAAATTCGAATTAGGACAACTACGAAGTTACAAGCAGGGTTTCACAAAGCATTGGATATACCTATCGATGAAAATATTTGTAGTAGTTTCCTATATCATTCTTATTGTATACACCAGTGTATTTCAGTGGATTTCCTGATTTTTGCTAAACGTTATCGGCGAAAAATAAACAAGTTGTTCCAAAAAAAGTAATTTCAGGAAACAATTTGTTTCAAATAAATATCTACTCACACCTCGCAGGAACGTATATGCATAAGAAATTGTAATAATAGATAAGTATTTCGGACGATCTCGCCCTCACTCACACTAGTAATCTCTCTCTTTTCTTAGCTTTTGTTTGCATATCCGGCATCGAGAGAGATTTTTCCAATGGCGCTTTATTGGTAAAGAGTAGTCTGTGAAGTCTTTTTTCTGGTGTTAGCTTTCTTGGTTTGGTGGTTTGTTCTGAAACAAACAAAACTATTTTTTTATTGTCAAGAACATGATTCAAAAGGAATCATTCTATAAAACTCAAATGAAATAATATTGAGTCATTTGAAATTCACTGGAGAAAAATTTTCTCCATAAATGTCGTATATACATTAGATCGTGCAATTTTTATATATTTTGGAAGTGCTTCTCATCCATAGAGCAATGATGGAAATTAAGAATCGATAACATTTACAGACATCAAGATAGGTGACTTTGAAATTGAGCATTTATCGAAAGCTAGTATAACGTCACGAGGCATACGTGACTGTACAATGTCTGACCTATTATAGAGCAAAATATTTAATGAATAAACATAATGAAATCCAGGCAAGTAGGCCATGGTTGAATGGAAACTGTAGTACCAAACGTTTCGTCTGCTGGGTAGCCGACAACGGTCTACTGCTACTAGCTCGGTTTTATCTTAGAACGGTAAGCCGGCATGCTTTCGAGATTCGAGATAGCATCTTTTCACCAACGACTCCAATAATCAAAACAATCGTCTTAATATAGTGGTCTAGATAGAATCTGTGGAGTTCGAAAAGAAAATATCGGTATTTCATCAGTTTTTCCACTTCTTTTCGGACGATATTCGTCTCGCTGAAAACTCCACGGCAAATATCTTCTTTCTCTGATGGTCGAAAAGAACTACATCAGGCCCATCAACTTGTAAGAGCCTGAGGATGGGGAATGAATTGTTCCAAAAAATTTGGCACTCCTCTTTCCTTGAAGCGGATTCAATATCCCTCGGAGCGCGGAGGGCCGCTTTATGTCGATGGATATAGACTGAGACCGTATATGCTGACTGGCAGTACATTAGGGGCTCAGGAGCCTCGCGGCAGGCCCGGCACCTTGTGTCAGATCCTCTATACCCATCACGCGACTGTGGTAGACTAGGGCGTTGAACACTATCTTAGCAGGCCAGGATGAGCCTCTCAGTATCTGATTTCAGTCCACCCGACCTAGAGATAGCGAAGGAAGCGCTTTGATAAGATGAGGAGATGCTCATTTTTGTGTTACCGCAAGAGTGAAGTGATCTCTATGGCTTCTATATGGGGCTTTTGCTGAAGGGGTAACAAGTCGGTGACAGACTTGTGATCACCTCATTCAGTGTCAAAAACTAAACCAAGTTCATCAGCTGCTCAGGCAGCTGCCTTGAAGAGACATGCACCAATTCCTACTACTTCATGGTTTCGGACCATGCAGATGACTTTACAGGCTCCATTCTGTTATACGAACACTCCAAACCCAAAAGTCCACATCATCGCTGTTGTCGAAGGAAGTACAATCGTGGAACGGTCGATTTGGGATGCAAACTCCTATGGAGAAACATTACTTTTCCGGGTCTTTTCGGGTTGATACATCTCCTCTTGGGTTAATTTCACTACTCCCAACGAGTAGAGTAGAATTGGATTGGCAAGCATATTCGTAGCAGTGACTTTTTCCCCATAAAAGTTCCAATGACCTAATCTGTCAGAGTTTGTGCTGATATGTTTGTTTAAAAGTGGTTGACAATATTTCATGGTGAATTACACTAGTTCGGACTCCGGACTAGTTCGGTATGAAGTAATTATGGACTTATTAGGATGCTGTGTACGGAACTATCATTTCCAACTGAACAAGAATTATTTGGGCTAGATGAGGGACTGCCAATGAGATCGCCATTTCCACCAGTTATAGCCAATATATACATGGAGTGATTTGAATCTCTGACCATTGAAAAAGCCCACAAGAAGCCCCGATGCTGATTNAATAGAAGATTTTTCTTTGTGAAAAATACTTTGATTTTTACGCAGTAACTTATCGGGGTAAACTAAAAAGTTTGCCCTTCTACACTTGTATAAAGTTCTCCATTATAATTTTTATATTTTTTCAGATTGTGGAAGGTAACAATTACCCAAAAAAGGTCGATAAAAAAGTGATTTTTTCCCCCACAAAAAATGACTTTCGTTGAATTATCTACATGTTTTATATGAGCAAAGCTTGGCTTAAATTCATCCGGACACTTCCCTTTGAGGAAATTATATCTTCAAAAACAGCTTCCAGTCTAGGAATCTTCAATGATCATCATATATTATGTATTAGCTTCAACCAAACCTTTGAAAACATGCCAGCTGCCATGATTTTTGACGATACATGTTGCACTTCCAATATATCATTAATTATTGATGGTGGATTCAGTCATCAGTCTTGAGTCATACGTTACAAGTTTAAAATACGATGACTAACAATTGTTACGACAGAAGATTTACGAAAAGTGAATAATAATAATGATAATAATACAGCAGGACTCGATATAATATAAGCGTAACCTCTCTATGGCCTGGATCGATTATCGTAAGGCATTTGATACAATATCGCAAGAGCTCATCTTGCATTTGCTCAGATGCCTAGCGGTACCCGACAAAATAGTGAGATGCATTGATCAAGTGATCTCATTTTATTTAGATATTGTTTTGTTGATAAACAGGGGGTATAGCAGTACAGAAGATGAATAGGACTTACTGTTTTAATGGTTCATAAACTTCCACAATCTGAAAAATGAACAGAGCTGAATCATTAGAGAGCCAAAGAAAGATAAAGTGCACGAAAGCGCGATATAAATCATTGACGATCTTAATTGATCAGTAACGTCGTCGTATTCATAAATTTTGTTTAAAAAAGGAACAAATAGTAAAAAAAACATTTATTTTCCCAGGAATGTAACCTCCATCCATTGTGAAACTCAAATAGAATGCGTGAAAAAATGTTTAAGTTAAACTGTTTCATTGAAAAAAAAGACATAGTAATGATGAAGATGTACTAAGAACTGAAAATTAATTCGAAGGTCCTAGGTAGCAGTAATCACACCACTCTCCTCAGTACTCTACGGTATTGATCAGATAAAAAAATAAAATCGTCGGGCGTAGAATTTACATATTTACTCAGGTTACGCTACGTAATTTCAAGGGCAACTGATGCCCTTGAAATTTCCACTCATTTATTGCAAAAAATTCATGTCTCTTCCAAATGAATATTTATTTGAAAAAATCTGACGTAGAGTGGAGGGGTTACGAAATTTCCAGTTTCTAATTCAACGAATAATAATTTCGCAACAGGTTATCGAAATTCAAAAAAGTGAATTTCATTATATGAAGAAGTGAAATATCTTTTATACGAAGTGTCACAATAGCCCCCCCAATATATTTGAAAAAAAAGGGCTATCCATCTCTCGGCGGCAAGTGATGTTACACTATTTTTTTCAAAAGTACTGAAAATTATTCCTTCATACAAAAATATTGTCCGACTCTGATATCTTGCTGGAAGTTGGGAGGGGGCGGTTTTATACACCGAACAAGAATTTAAAAAAATCTAGAAAATTTAAGTAATGTTGTTTATACAGTGCCTCAAATTACCAGGATTACGCTAACCAGCTTAAATATCTAACTGGTCTTTCTCATTTGGTTTTCGAAAATTAGAATATCATCGCAAAATGTACAGAATAGTATATCGTTTCTGAACATCAATGTCAATTTGGAAAATATTCCAATCGTAATTTTTCAATCAATAATACATTTTAAACTTTTCTCATTGTTTTTTGGGTATATAACCTTCCAACAATCTGAAAAATGAATAAAGTTAAATCAATAGATAATCTTCTGAAGTGTATGAAGGGCAAACTGAAAAGTTCACTCCGAAAACTCACTATGTAATATGAACCTCTGCAGAGTCCAATTAGTCAGAAATAATGTAATAACGTTCCGTTATAAAACTATTGATTTTAAAAAAATACTGTTTGAGGCTTCAAAAACATGTATGGAAATAAAATCTCGAATATGCACATTGTAGGTAACGCGTTTTAGGTGAAGTAACCCCCAAATTCTTGCTATTCGAATAAATACAAATATAAAGTTGTGCCACAGATATACGAGTAAGTATATGGATCACATTTTTCAAGATACTCCACTGAAATCTCAAATTCGAATTAGGACAACTACGAAGTTACAAGTAGGGTTTCACAAAGCATTGGATATACCTATCGATGAAAATATTTGTAGTAGTTTCCTATATCATTCTTATTGTATACACCAGTGTATTTCAGTGGATTTCCTGATTTTTGCTAAACGTTATCGGCGAAAAATAAACAAGTTGTTCCAAAAAAAGTAATTTCAGGAAACAATTTGTTTCAAATAAATATCTACTCACACCTCGCAGGAACGTATATGCATAAGAAATTGTAATAATAGATAAGTATTTCGGACGATCTCGCCCTCACTCACACTAGTAATCTCTCTCTTTTCTTAGCTTTTGTTTGCATATCCGGCATCGAGAGAGATTTTTCCAATGGCGCTTTATTGGTGAAGAGTAGTCTGTGAAGTCTTTTTTCTGGTGTTAGCTTTCTTGGTTTGGTGGTTTGTTCTGAAACAAACAAAACTATTTTTTTATTGTCAAGAACATGATTCAAAAGGAATCATTCTATAAAACTCAAATGAAATAATATTGAGTCATTTGAAATTCACTGGAGAAAAATTTTCTCCATAAATGTCGTATATACATTAGATCGTGCAATTTTTATATATTTTGGAAATGCTTCTCATCCATAGAGCAATGATGGAAATTAAGAATCGATAACATTTACAGACATCAAGATAGGTGACTTTGAAATTGCGCATTTATCGAAAGCTAGTATAACGTCACGAGGCATACGTGACTGTACAATGTCTGACCTATTATAGAGCAAAATATTTAATGAATAAACATAATAAAATCCAGGCAAGTAGGCCATGGTTGAATGGAAACTGTAGTACCAAACGTTTGGTCTGCTGGGTAGCCGACAACGGTCTACTGCTACTAGCTCGGATTTATCTTAGAACGGTAAGCCGGCATGCTTTCGAGATTCGAGAGTAGAGATGGCATCTTTTCACCAACGACTCCAATAATCAAAACAATCGTCTTGATATAGTGGTCTAAATAGAATCTGTGTAGTTCGAAAAGAAAATATCGGTATTTCATCCGTTTTTCCACTTCTTTTCGGACGATATTCGTCTCGCTGAAAACTCCACGGCAAATATCTTCTTCCTCTGATGGTCGAAAAGAATTACATCAGGCCCATCAACTTGTATGAGCCTGAGGATGGGGAATGAATTGTTTCAAAAAATTTGACACTCCTCTTTCCTTGAAGCGGATTCAATATTCCTCGGATATAGACCGAGACCGTATATGCTGACTGGCAGTGCATTAGGGGCTCAGGAGCCTCGCGGCAGGCCCAGCACCTTGTGTCAGGAACCTCTATACCCATCACGCGACTGTGGTAGACTAGGGCGTTGAACACTATCTTAGAGGGCCAGGATGAACCTCTCAGTATCTGACTTCAGTCCACCCGACCTAAAGATAGCGAAGGAAGGGCTTTGATAAGATGAGGAGATGGCTCATTCTTGTGTTACCGCAAGAGTGAAGTGGCTTCAATATGGGGCTTTTGCTGAAGGGGTAACAAGTCGGTGACAGACTTGTGATCACCCCATTCAGTGTCAGAAACTAAACCAAGTTCATCAGCTGCTCAGGCAGCTGCCTTGAAGAGACATGCACCAATTCCTACTCCTTGATGGTTCCGGACCATGCAGAGAAGGTGATACGAACTTTTGATGACTTTACAGGCTCCATTCTGTTATGCGGACACTTTAAACTCAAAAGTCCACATCATCTCTGTTGACGAAGGAAGTACAATCGTGGAACGGTCGATTTGGGATGCAAACTCCTATGGAGAAACATTACTTCTCCGGGTCTTTTCGGGTTGATACATCTCCTCTTGGGTTCATTTCACTACTCCCTACGAGTAGAGTAGAATTGGATTGACAAGCATATTCGTAGCAGTGACTTTTTCCCCATAAAAGTTCCGATGACCTTATCTGTCAGAGTTTGTTGCTGATATGTTTGTTTGAAAGTGTTTGACAATATTTCATCCCTGTTGTCGAAGGAAGTACAATCGTGGAACGGTCGATTTGGGATGCAAACTCCTATGGAGAAACATTACTTCTCCGGGTCTTTTCGGGTTGATACATCTCTTCTTGGGTTCATTTCACTACTCCCAACGAGTAGAGTAGAATTGGATTGGCATGTATATTCGTAGCAGTGACTTTTTTCCCCATAAAAGTTCCGATGACATAATCTGTCAGAATTTGTGCTGATATGTTTGTTTGAAAGTGGTTGACAATATTTCATGGTGAATTACACTAGTTCGGACTCCGGACTAGTTCGGTATGAAGTAATTATGGACTTATTAGGATGCTGTGTACGGAACTATTATTTCCAACTGAACAAGAATATTTGGGCTAGATGAGGAACTGCCAATGAGATCACCATTTTCACCAGTTATAGCCAATATATACATGGAGTGATTTGAATCTCTGACCATTGAAAAAGCCCACAAGAAGCCCCGATGCTGATTGAGATACGTTGACGACACCTTCATAGCATGGAACCATGGAAATACCTTTCTGAATCACATCAACAGCGTAAAATCCTTCATCACCTTCACAGTGAAGAAGGAAATACACAACGAATTGTCATTTTTAGACGTACTGGTGAAGAGCACCAACACTAAGTGGAACACATCTTCATACGGGACAGTAGGTATCTGAATCACAAATCCAACCATCATCAATCTATCAAAAGAGGAATCATCAAGACTCTAGTGCTAGAAGACCCAAGAGCCTCACAAGGAAGAGAAGCTATCTCAACCAGTGCTTGTCCTATGTCAGAGGATTGTCGAAAAGGATAAAAAGAATTGGGTTCAAGAATAAGTAACATCAGAACCTGATTCAGATTCGGAAACACCATCCGTAGCAGCCTCACGAAAACTAGATCACCAAACGCGGACTGCGATTCCAAGAATTGCATTTACCGGATACCCTGTGAGTTCGGCAAGTCCTATTTTGGTGAAATTAAGAGGCAATTGAAAGTGCTCATTACCGAACACAAGAGAAACACACAGCGAGGAGAAACTATCAAGTCGGGAATAGCAAATAATGTTTGGACTCATCAATATAACATCGAGTGGTCCAAGCTGAGGAACACTGGTTTACGGGGAAGTTCAGAGAAGCTGCATATATGTTGTCCAACGACGCATTCAGCCAAACTAGCATAGAGATATACAACTTATGGAAACCTTTAATGAAGCAAAAAAATGGTCGACTCTCACCAAACCGATGAACCGGAGAGAGGAAAGAGGGATAAGTTGGTTTAAATTTTTTTTTTTAATTTTTGACTGTTCAATTTTTTAGTTTTGGCTTATTTTCATTTTATTGCTCAATATAATTGTCAGATTCAGAGATTTCAAATCATATCTGACAATGGAAGTCCGAACTAGTAAAATTTGTGCTGATACTTGCCGCGGAGAGTGTTTTTCACTGCTTTCACCTCTTGTGAGTGGCGTTGTTCCACCCCGAGGTAAGTATACGTCTCTCCGACATCCAGATGGTGTAGGTTGCTTCCATCTACAAGCTGCACATCCTCTCCGTATTTCCCGCATCGTCCTCTTTTGAGATGGACCGTTGCACATTTTTCTATCTTCAGTATTATACCGATTGCAGGCGTGTAATTTTCAACCATCTTCAAGGACTAATGGAGATCATTTTCTCCAGAGGTAAGAAGTTTGATATTATCAATATTGAACAAATGGGTTAACTTAGACCTCCAGTTCCCGGAGGTGTCACAGTTATAGCCTCGAGTATTTCTGAGCGCAACGGATTTTAGCCTACATCTTGTGTACCCGTCGTTTAATCTTCCGAAAGGCAAGACCGGGATTCGGAAAGTGGTTGAGCGGCGCTGTACACGGCGGTGCTGATTTGCCAGATGTAAGACCATTATGAACCTCTGCATCCAAACAAACCAGTTCTTGTGGCTTCAGGAGCTTAATTCTGTGGAGTGCCCTGCATTTCCTGATTGGTGGAATGATGCGAGTCTCCTCTCCAGTCACACCAATGGGTGTAGAATTGCCACTCATACCACTCTGTTAGCAGGCCGGGGTGGAAATATCTAACCCTGCCGAGGACGATAAGATACAGTATTCCTGAGATTTTGGGCGGAGAACATGGCATGCTCCGGATATGTTTCACACCATAAAACATGCATTCTCGCTATGTAGCCTCTTCGCGCGGGCAGTCACTACTCTCACTACTCACTACTGACATCTCTTAAAAATATACCACTTTCAGTTTGAGAATATACCACTTTCAAATAAAATATAACAAACATGGAACTACTACAGGAACGAGGGTATCGTGTTAAGGTGGATGAAAAAAAGCAAAAAATCAATAAGTCTATATTGTTTCTGGGAAAAACTGTTATTTCGTAAATATTGAAACTATAAACAGTTTGGAACCCTTTGATCGTTGCCGTATAAAATATCCGAGAAATTTTTCCTAAGTTAACACAGAAATGAAAGTTTCGCAATTACGTTCTCAAAAATGAATATATAATTTCAATAAATCGTTTTCATTACCTGTGTTACTGCAAGAAGCCATATTCGTATCATTTTCTCCATGTGGCGATTTCGAACGTTCGTCATTTTGGAAAGCTTCATGAGAAAAAGCCACCAACTGAATACCGGGCTTTTTAGTCATATCTTTATTCGACAATGTTCTGGTGATGGTAGTTTGCAATTTTTTTAAGGGACTTTGATTATTGTTGATTCCACCATTGGATGGAGATTTCTTGGATGGAGATGGAGGTAAAGCTGGAATTTCTCCATTGTGCAGTTTTTCTTGCTCCCTTTCGAAATACTCGTACAGCCTGTTTGTCCACTGCCCTACGCCTCTGATGTGCAGCCACATGTAATCTGCCGAGAGAGAAAATCATAATTTTCATAACAGAAATATTTCATTCAGCAAAAATGTATTTTTGAAAAGATATCTTAATGACAACCGTGACACGAAATTGGACTTTTGGAAAATTTCAATTGGAATATTCAACTATTGAGAAAATCTAATAACTAGACATCTCGAAAATAATACAATATTTGTATTGATATATTAACTGACAGTTCCATAAAAGAATGTACAGTTTGATATCTATTCTGTTTTGGAAGTGCAGTTGGAAGCTGAAATATTGTGATAATATAACATTTGGTATAGTAGTTTAGATCACAAATAACCATTTTAGTGACCTATCGGGCCTCCAAGCTATCCATCAACAATGTTTCAGTGTTAAAAGAGCTAATTTTACATCTACATTGTTTATTTCATTAAAACTATTTTATGACTCTTCTGACAGCAAGTTAACCTATTCTAGATAACTGCATAAAGTTTGGAATCGTCCACACTCTGATATTTATTTACGTAAAGTGTTTGATTCCGACACATTTTGACTGGATGTCATTAAGGTGAAGGAATTTGGAATTCGTAAACAACTCCCACATGGCGAGTAGCAACGGTCATGTGCTACAACTACCACAGCAACAGGACTGGGAACCCTTCAAGGAGAAAAATGAAATGAAGAATATTTAATTCTAAGGCTATTTCTTAAGTTATCATACTATCGGACCATTTATACATGAAATTAATGTACTTGGGAATAATTAAACATACTGAACACATTCAGAACCAATACTTTTGGGAGAATACTCAACAAGACCTCTGTAGCTGGATATGCTGCGAAAACAGACCCATGATTGATGGAATACTAGTAATTCAGACGAATCCAAATGTGTTTTCAACAGATGTGACGTTTCAGCAAGATGGGACACCTCCTTATTGTGCCAAGCTGTTTTGAAGATATGGCAATTATTCCATACGCCGGATAGGCAGACAAGCTCTCTTAGAATGACGCGTTAGATCACCTCATATAACAACTTTTATATTTTTGTGCGGATTTGTGAAATCTAAAGTATACGTTTCACAACCGATGGACTGCATATAGACTTATGCACATTGCCAATTGCACTAATCAATTTATTGCAGAGTGCAAAAGACTGTTGGTTGACACTGGAAGTCACAGCATTCTGGAAATGACCTCTGACTATATGCCTCCAACTGTCAACTACGAACTGCCTTATAAAGGACTGTTCCCGAGTAAAGAGGACTAGATCCTTTGAAAGAAGAAAATATTAAGAGCAGATAGTTGTTGGTTCACAGATGGATCAAAAACACCTTCCGGTTCCGGTGCAGGTGTTTTCAGTCGCAGACCCAGGACAGAGATATCAACCTGCCTAGGAACCTATACGACTGTATTTCAGGCGGAGATTTACGCTATTGAATTGTGTGCGGAGAGATTGGAAGAATTTAACCTCATACACAAGTCAATAAAAATATTCTCGGACATTCAAGCGGCGTTGGAAGCTCTTGGCTCCTACCGAACAACGTCTGAATTGGTAGCAAATTGTCTAAAACGACTCTCCAGGATAGGAAGACTTAACAGATTGTTTCTGGTCTGACTCCCTTGTAAAGGAGGGTGCCGCAAGCAGCTTCATCGGACTAGAACCTGTCATTGGCATCGCTTTAGGCTTTGCCAAACAAAGATTGAACACCTGGATAGCAAGAAGATTTATGAACTTCTGGCAGAATCTTCCAAGATTGGGTCAGTCCAAGGCATTTATTCATCCTTCAAAGCTAGATACCAAACAGTTGTTGGACTACAGTAGGGATGAACTACGATGTCTAACATGCCTTCTTAAAGGTCACTGTCATTTGAATCATCATATGCAGAGACTCGCACTGTAGGAAGACACTGTATGTCGCCTCTGTTTGGAAAACGATGAAACAGCAGAGCACATACTTTGTGCCTGCCCCACTGTGGACCGGGTCAGATTTTTAGAGTTCGCCAGAGCCATACTCTTACCATCTGACCTGAAAGACCACTCACCATACAAACTAATCGGGCTTCGTTAAGAAGCTGGGTTTATTTGGTCGAGTGTGAATAGCCACAATAAACCTTTGTGGGTTGCGGTGGAGGGTCGAATTTGGATACTTACGGGTATAAATTAACCTAGAAACTGTATCCATAAACATACAATAGTTTACTGAATTATAATATATTAACGATTCCCCATAGGGAATATAATAAGTCAGGGTTATATACATTATTGAAATCACGAAGCTGAATTTTGTTTCGTATTGTATTCAAATGAGTAGGAAAATATCAATTTTACAAAAGAATTTATTAAAACTTTCGTTAGTCTGTAAATAGAGAAGAAGTTTTAACCTGGGGTGATTTTGTCGAAAGCTACAATGGGAAAATTCTTTGTTCTGGTTGGAAGTTGAGTTGGAAGTTCATCGAAAATAAATCAATCAAAAGTATTTTTATGAAACTCACCGTCTTGTTCAGGGGCACTACTGATTGTAAAAGGATGCCATTCGTATTTTGCTATCGCCGGTATTCGAACGAATATGTAATCTCCTGGGTGGAAATCGAACTGCAGCGGTCGCTTGATAACTAGATGTGTAACCTTTGAGGGCAAAAGCAAACCGGAACTGATGTATGTTTTTCCTCTTTCGGTGACGATGAAAGCAGATCTGTATATTCTTTCCAGGCCATATGCGATCCCTGGTATGAAGAACCATTTCCAAAAGTTTGGACCGTGTAGAATCAATAGTATCCAAAAGGGTACGTACATTAGATGCGTGTAGTAGAAAATCTGAAACGAAATTTTCAGCAAATTTCAGGAGTATCTGAGTACATTTCTGAGAAAAAATACATTTTTGTGGAGAAGTCAATGTTTCCTGTTGTTTTTTGGTACATAAACTTTCACAATCTGAAAAATGAGCTAAATCATTAGAGAGTCAAAGAAAGATAAAGTGCACTAAAGCGCGATATAAATCATTGACGAGTTTAATTGATCAGTAACGTCGTCGTATTCATAAATTTTGTCTACAAAAGGAATAAATAGTAAAAAAAAACATTTATTTTCCCAGGAATGCAACCTCCATCCATTGTGAAACTCAAATAGAATGCGTGAAAAAATGTTTAAGTTAAACTGTTTCATTGAAAAAAAAAAGACATAGTAATGATGAAGATGTACTAAGAACTAAAAATTAATTCGAAAGGTCCTAGGTAGCAGTAATCACACCACTCTCCTCAGTACTCTACGGTATTGATCAGATAAAAAATAAAATCGTCGGGCGTAGAATTTACATATTTACTCAGGTTACGCTACGTTTCAAGGGCAATTGATGCCCTTGAAATTTCCACTCATTTATTGCAAAAAATTCATGTCTCTTCCAAATGAATATTTATTTGAAAAAATCTGACGTAGAGTGGAGGGGTTACGAAATTTCCAGTTTCTAATTCAACGAATAATAATTTCGCAACAGGTTATCGAAATTCAAAAAAGTGAATTTCATTATATGAAGAAGTGAAATATCTTTTATACGAAGTGTCACAATAGCCCCCCCAATATATTTGAAAAAAAAGGGCTATCCATCTCTCGGCGGCAAGTGATGTTACACTATTTTTTTCAAAAGTACTGAAAATTATATCTTCATACAAAAATATTGTCCGACTCTGATATCTTGCTGGAAGTTGGGAGGGGGCGGTTTTATACACCGAACAAGAATTTAAAAAAATCTAGAAAATTTAAGTAATGTTGTTTATACAGTGCCTCAAATTACCAGGATNTTTTCAGATTGTGGAAGGTTGTATACCCCAAAAAACGGTAAGAAATATTGAGTACTCCACAAAAATGTCTTTCAAAGAATATTTCAAATCATGCCAAAGTTGTAATATTTACAAAAATCGACCTTATTCTGTTTACCTCTCCTTCCTCAATGATCATAACGTCATGATACAACAATAATTACGAAGATCTCTATTCCGAAAATTTTGAAGATAATGTTGAAGAGTTCATAGTTACATTTCAAAGGACTAAGAAAATGAGGACTGATAAAATTTCTTATAGAAATATGAATTTTTTGTAGAATATGAGATCTTCACAAAAATGTATTGATGCTAGCCAATGATGACACAAACTACCATTATGTTATTATTTAAAATGAATATTACCTCGAAACAACCTCCTCTCCTAACGAATGCCTGGGAACTTATTACTATAGTAATTAAAATCACCAGTAGTGCCACGCCTGTGGGATTTGCTACTCCTCCTATCAATCCAAATAAACCTGGTTTGGTCGTAAACAGCCATTCCGAAGCTGTGTAGTTGGCTTCATTTATAATGGGGTCATTCACCACAATGAGACCTGTGAATTAATTAGGAATTAGCAGAAAAACATTACATCTGAACTTTTTACATTACTTACTGAAGTTACACACATGCATAACTGTGTGTAAAACGCTGTAGCCAAAGATAAACATGCCGGTCAGTTTGTGAAAATAAATATGTTGGTCCAGAGGTAAAATTGAACTGTAGCCTCTTGTTCGTAAGAACGTGATACACTGTCTAAGCATCAAGACAACGATGAAAGTACAATTGAAGTTGAGACACTGCCCTAAAAAACAAAGTTCATACATACCTCATCAATTGAGATTTTTGAGTAATATGAGCTCAAGACGCTGTACTGTGGAAATAATATTTTCTAACGGACGTGCTGTGCTGCAAAGCAAAGCATGTCAGAATGGAAGCTTCCCAAAATTTTCAAGTTTTTATGTAAACAAATCGGTGTTGTCAATTTTTCTATCTTTGATGTACATTGTAACCAATAACCTTGTGTTGGCTAGATTTATTCCATACTCGCTACTATTTAATTCATTATTAAATGTTTCTAAAAGAACGTGATAAGCTTTCTAGTGACAAGATATGAGTTTGGTGGATCTTCACATTTCTCTGAAATAATGCTACAAATGTTTACTCAGAAATAATCGAGAAAGGAACACTTTTTCTCACAGCGAATGTATTTGGTGAAACGAAAGATATCACCCTCAATAATACTTTGCATGTTCCCCAACTGCGAACTAATTTATTGTCCATTGGAAAAATTATCATCAAAAACGTTTTTGATGTTGTTCCTGCGGAAGTTTGATTTGATACGTTTGTCTTTGTTAATCTTCCTCCTGAAGATGATACTTGGTGATCGAAACACATGTCAAGGTGTTGAAATAACCGTTTGGTATTGGGAAAAAGCTCCAGTAATATTCATTACTACACCACAGGTGCATCACAAGTTTGTTAATCTGTTTCTGTTCACCCTGTATGAAAACAATTGAGAGTGCAATATGTAAATAAAGAAAAGGCTGTTGACGTTACGAAAAAGTATCTTCTCATTCCTGTATATCAAACAAAAACCAGAGTTTTGATCAAGTTGAAAAGTAAAACCAAGTCAGATACAGATGTTCAATTTCAAAGAGACAATGCAGTAGTTCTTGACAATGAAGAGTAAAACTTATCGCGAATCGTGTTGGTGATTTGAACTGAAAACTTCAAGTGCGATGTTTGTTTCAAAGAAGAAATTTCAAGAACAAGAACAACGACAATGCTGGATCTCATTCATACGGACGTCGAGTGTACAGTATTATGAACCCTCCATTGACGATAATTCTACATGGTGCGAAGTACGATTTATTTCTTACAAAAGTGGGGTTATCGAAAAGACCAGAATGTTTATGGTCAAATATTGAAAATGAAGAAAATGGACAATGAGGAAGAATATATCAGTGGAAACTTCAAACATCTGCTAGAAGAGAATGACATTGTGTGACGTTTAACAGTACCGCACAACCCAGAAAAAAATGGTATAGTCGAGAAGTATAACAAATCTCTCGCTGAAACTGCACGTTGTCTTCTCATGCTGTTTGGCCTACCACTATTATTTTGGGCTGAAGCAGTGAATACGGCGAAGTATATACGAAATCGCTGTCCAACAAGATGCCTTCAAGGACTAACGCCATATGAAGTATGGTCAGGATAAAAGTCTGATGTCATCAGACAATTTGGTTGTTTAGTATATATCTTGAACAGGAGACTTGATGAAGATAAATTCGAGATGAGATGAAATGTAAAGAAGGCAGATTTTTGATATACTCAGAACAAAAGTGAGGTTATCGAGTTTGGATACCACCTTAGAAGAAAGTTTCATTTACTCGAGATATATAATTCTCAGAAAAATCGGACATATCTAAAGAAGAATTATCTGATTTCTGTCCAGATGATATATAAAATTCTATAGAAATGGAAATATTCTCGGAATATCTCACTTGAAACATTGAAATGAAACTTCTCGGAAATATAACCAATCTTGAAACAGAGGAAAGAGAAGGAGGAGTCGTGGAAAATACAGCCGGAATTGAAAACTTGCCAGATTTCAATAAGGAGATGATTACGGAACTACCACAATCTAGACGAGGTCCTGGTAGAATAATCAGGTCTGGATCTAGAGGGAGACCTCGAGAGGAATATCAGCAGTTACCACTAATTATCAAGAACAGTAGAAAAAAAGGCAAAGTTTTATCACTGAAGTATTTATGAAACAAGCGTTAACTGATAATCAAGAAAATATGAAAAAATGACACATGGATACTTGTAGATCGTACATGAAACAAGCATATCGTAGAAAGTCGAATTGTATTGAGGAACAAATAAAAAGCAGATGGCACCATTGATCGAAGAAAATCCGATTAGTAGCTCTTGTATAATCAGATTAATTACAGCTTCAGCCGCTCGCTACGGAATGCATAATTATCAAGTAAATGTCACTTGTGCTTATTTGAACGGTGAGCTCAAAGAAGAGATTCATATGGAGCTACCAAAACAACTTTTTGAAATTCTAATAGCACTAATGGAAAACGGAAATACTTTGAAATGGCTTTCAAACAAAAGTAACAAATATGCTTGACCTACAGAGTGGTGATGAAGGGTGCCTTTTGAAGAAGTCTTTGTATGGATTACGTTGAGCTGGAAAAAGCTGGTTCGAAAAGTTGGACATGATTTTGAAACCTATCAGAGCTGTACCAACGAACTCTGATTCATGCTTCATCATTTGAATAAGGGTGATGATTTTACTTTCATTGCCATCTATGTGTATGATATTTTGATTGCTTGACAAAATCTTCAAATTATTTCTGATGTAAAACATATAATCTCCAAGAATTTGGAACTCAAAAGATATCGGAAACGTGGATTACTGTCTAGGAAACAAGTTTTCTTGAAAAAGAGATAAAATTGCTTTACACCAAAAACGGATTATCATGGACTCGTTGCAATATTTTGGAATATCGAAATCCGAATCCATTAGTACCCCAATGGATTCAAATATTAAGTTGATGAAAACTTCGAATGTGACGAAGATGAAGAACTGAAGGTATCATAAAGAATTGGTAGTGTTTTTTGAATACGTTAGTAATGGATTTTCGTCAAGTATCTGCCAATTCCATCATATATCTAACTCACTTAGCTGTAACTACAAGGCCAGATGTGAGTTTCACTGCAATTGGACTATGGTCAAACAAGTACTACGTTAGCTGAAATGAAGCATGTACTTTGGAATCATTTACAATTCAGACAATGGACATCTCAAAGGATGTGTAGATGCCGATTGGGGCAACAATATAGATGATGCAATCGTATACTGGCTACTCGTTCATACTCGCATGGGATCATGTCATCTACCGTACATGGGATCCGAAGAAGTTGACAAAGAAGCCATATACTTTTAAAGATTTTTGTCTAAGCTGGGTTTCATAAATTGAAAGCTATAACAAGTAATAATGGCAGTTGAAGTACCTTAACGCTTGCGGAAAATCCAACATCCAAGAAGTACGACAATTTATTCGTGAAGAACTGAAAAACAAGAAATTCCCAGTAGGTCATACTCCTGCGGAAGATATGGTTGCCGATATTTTAACAAGAAACGACAAAAACAATATGCGTTTTTAGAAATGTTAGGATTGGGAGTTTCAATCAAGTGTTAGATGGGATGAAATTGCATCCTTAACGATGGTTCGACATATATCTACTGAAGAAATACCCTACATATCGAAATATTGTGAGTGTGACTGAGCTGTTAAGTCAGATATATACAGACATTGATATTTATTTTTACGATACTGTGACGTTTTGCTTTTGTGAAGTTATTATGTTCAATAAAATTTCTTATAATTTTCTTTTCAAGTCATTAACTGATAGTTTCACTGCCTGAATTTTTTGGTCAACGGGATATTCTGGCGACATTTTCAGAATAAAAAAAATTTCATCTAAGAAATACTCACCACACGCCCTGGCAAATATCGTGTACCAAGTCGACCCTGCATATTCGATGGCTCTTGAAATGAATAGGGCAGCATTGACTAGAAGGAAACCTGATAAGAATATCAAATAAATATGGTTGTTCCTTATATATGGCAATGTCAGTTGATACGGTCGATACGAAAGGAGTTTTCCTAATAACGAAGTTGGTTGCGATTGCGGTTTGGGAGGAACTAACCATCGGTCTATGCTGAAAAGAAATACATCAGGATACATTCCTATGATTTTGTTAGCATTTTCTTCATCAATTCATCTTTGAAACAAACTCAAAAGTAAGTATTAATCACTGAATTCAAGTAAAATTCCCATAGTAAATTCCCATTTGCTATGCACATACAGTGAGTTTCTAGATGCCGAAGTATCTTCCCTTGACTACTCAATTCCAAGTACAAACCTTATCGATAAATTCTCTAGTAGACCTCCATGTTTTTCGAGCTGGCTTTTGAGGGCTTCGTATGTAATAGCCCCCCTATTATTTGTATCAGCATCTTCGAACATAGCCATTGTCAGATTATCAATCTGTTCTTCGCTGAACTGCATTCCATTCTCTACCATGCATGCTCTCATGACATGCTGCAATTCCTTGTGCTGTATCAATCCATCACCTGAAAAATGAAAACAGTCGAAGGATTAATTGAAAAATATTATAATGTTCACAAAGAGTTTCATCAGGACAAAGAAACTAATGAGATGAACAAAAACGTAGCAAACGTATGAACTACATCAAAAGAAAACATAATAATTTGAAACATTACTACTTTGAAACTTCACTACTTAAACTTTCTCACTTTGGAAAAAGAGGAACATTCTTCAAATAGTTTTCTAGTAAATTATCAAATATACAGTGGGGGTCTCCATGACGGCAAACTGATAGATCTGATAAACTTTCTGTAATTTTCCGAAATGAAGGTGGCTCGTAGTTTTATGATGGACATGCGCATGTTTTATTTTTTCAAGAAAAAGTGAAATATCTCGTGAACGGTTGGTTTTTGATACAGGGAATGTTCCATGAAAATGAGTCAGAATCATCTCGTTATTTCAAAACTATTTTGAAATACAGAGTGTTCCTTCAGAAAAAACTGAGTTTTGGCCCATTTTTATATATTCAGAATTAGTCATCGATTACGAAAACCTTGTATAACATTTTGGAAATGTTACTCCTGCAAGGCGATAAAAGGAAGTATTTTCATGAATCAATAAGTTCATGTGTTCTATCAAACTTTTGATAGAATACATGATAGTGGAATTTCTTTCTCATCACAAAGTTTTTCCAGTGTAGTAGTTCTTGATATATTTTCTCATTTTTAATAAACCTTACGTATGACAACAACAATGCTTCATTGGTTGGTAAAGTGGACTTAGCTAACTGAATTGAGAATTTAGAAGTCTTCAGATGGTTGCACAATGACTCTTCAATGTTTTCAGCCATCTCATCATTTCGTCTTTGTACGGAACTATTGCTGAAAGGAATTTTTCGGATAATATCTGCTACTGGTTAATGGAGCACAGTAGTTATTGCTTTTTTTATTGAGGGTAAAATTAAATCCTCTCCAATAGTGTGAGGTTTACCTGTTTGAGCAATTAGCAAGGAGATATTGTAGGAAGCTCGGAGTCCGTTGCTGTCTTGCTTAGAAGCCGCAGAAAAAAGTTTTGACACAGTTGGCTGAGCTGAGTGATTCTTTTCCAGTTCTTGAAAATAAGTTACACTTTTGTCTTTTTTATTTGAATGCATTTTATTGAAATGATCTTGTAGTCTTGAGGGTTTCATCTCTTCATTCGAAAATGTTTTTTGACAAAGAAGGTACATAGGCGAAGATGGATTTGTGGGACTTTCAATAAATCCATATTTTATATATTCCGCGCTATACTGCCGTTTCTTCTTTTTTTCTTCCGGCATAATTTTGTCTTCAAATATGCCGAAGTAAAAAAATCGAGTATTAAAAACTTGCTAATGACACCACTCACAGTATTCACCACCGCCGTACAGCACTTCACCTAGCTAGTCGCTAACTGAATTCACTTGTTTTCGTAATATCGTCGAATGACATTACTGGCTGTTCGTGTCATCTTGGCCACAGTTTGTTCATGGCTTTGAACAGATTGGAACCTGGCTCCCTTTCGACTGATGTTCGTCAAAGAGACAAACGAGTCAAGACTAATTTATGGGATGACGCTATGAATGTCCTCAGACATCAGTACCACCCTTCACGTGGAGCTCTACCTGGCTGAGGTGTTTGGATGAAGATATTGTTCATCTTTTAACGGAGGACTGAGAGCCTCACTCGACAGAATGTCTGGGCCTTCTATATCGAGAGGGGCCGTCTACAGAATAATCCATAGCTTCCCCAACTAACGGACATTACTGGCGCTTTTATATGAGGCAGCGGGCGGGCCCAGTACTTTCGAAAATGGAGACTAGAAACTTCTCGCTTCGCATTGAAGCTTACCGCCATCTATTGTACCGTTTGACAACTATCGGACAGAAAATAGTTACTGTCTAGTCCCCTAGATGACGTTACACGAGGAAACGCGCGTTAAGAGTAAAGGAGCGGTAAAGTTTGTGTTAAAAGAAAAAAAAGACATTTTTCAATCAGCCATCGCCTCCCTAAACCACTTCAACGCCCCTCAATCTTCTCTGTGCCCTTTACTGTCCCGCCCACAAGGGGGCGTTATCGCCCACTTTGTAAAAGACTAGTATAGAGTGTATTTCATACTCACATTAGAATTATGACAGGTATCCAAAAATGTATGAATATACAGAGTGTTACATTTGAATTGAGAAATTTTGTACTAACTTCCGGTATGACCAGAAGTGTTGGAAAAACGCCATTATTTTCATTCGATGAAACATTATAAAAACTATATTTGGCAGTGTGCAAGATATGAATCCTATTATTTTCCAAAATACGGCTAATCAACGATCATTGCGCGGTACCCTGTACGTACACGTATAACATTATTGAATTCAGTTATGGAACATATTTATGAACGACAAAATACGAAACAAATAAATGAATCAACGAATTCTATCAGACTTACCATCCAAGTCATATACTTTGAAGAGAAACCGAATTTTATCTTCCGCTGTTTGACCAGCAAACTGATGCATGGCATCCAGAAACTCTTTCAGCGAAATGGATCCAGAGTTGTCCTTGTCGAAAATTTGAAAAACTCTGTCAGTGAAAAATGGCTGAAAACAAAATAAATAAGTCAAATAATTTTTGGGGTAGAATGAATCCAACAAAAACAGTTTTTCTACTCAGCCGAGATGCAATATTCCTTTCGAGGCGCGTATCATCAACTAAGTTGATGCCATCCGGAGCTGAACTACACTGAATCTTCGCCAACTTTTATCTAATGAAATGAATTTTCACTGTAACGTTCAGTCATATTCTTGATTGTCTGACAAATTATCGGTACATTTTCTGGTTCATGAAGAAGTAGATAATTTGAATGTGACCCTAGTCACTGTTTCCAGTTATCAAGCCACACTTTGAAACGAATCCAAAAGGCTGATGTCAAGTACCGGTCTCAACAATTTTAAACTAACACTATACTTTTTCTACGAAATCGTATCAACACAGCGTATTTTTTTGAACGAGTTCTAATAGCTAGTATTATCCAACGAACATGTTATTTTTCACACTAGGTATTTGCAGTTTATTTCATAACACCCAGACTTTTCAGATTATATCACCATATGGTAACAATTCTGTAGACAAGAAACTGTAGTTATGTTGTTATTGTTGTGGATAATAATGGGAACTGGGATAATGGGTATGTGAAATTTTGTATTTTTTTCTATACCTCAATTTTTAGACTCTTATAGCTGAGACATCCTAGACTTAGTGAACTTAGTATTATAGCCTCACATTTTTTCTACTGAAATGACTTGATAGTATTCTGGACGAACACATCAGGGGTCGCTTTATATGCCTTCCCCATGCAACCACAAGAATACTTATCAAACTGGCAAATCGACAGATTCGGAATTACACAACACTCGACAAAATCACTCGATCAATTACCAATAAAGAGATTGCGGTGGCTGTATTTCTTGATATCGAAGGAATATTTGACAATACACTACCTGTATCAATTGTCTCAGCCTTGGCTGAAAAAGGCACATAATTGACCGTAACTGGATGGATCTACACCATAGGTACTCGTAAAGAGAACTACTAATAAGACTCCTGAAAAGAAGGCTTTTGAATTTAGAGTAACCAAAAACTGCCCCAGGCTGATGTACTATCCTCAATTTTGTGGTCACTCCTGATGTCCTTGACAGAAGAGAAGTGTCAGAAAGATCACGTTGGAGAGTGTAGCCTGTAATATCCCCCAAAGAATGTAAGACGATGTTCATAGTTGATGCCAGAGGAGAAAATGTATGTTATTGAGCCCGGCAAAACTGTGACAGTCTCTTCCACTATGAAGTGAAATATGGATGACTCAACTTCATTTTTCTTCACAGGTGAGGCCTCTATTGGCAAATTCATTGGATGTTTGTGTTGATTGTCTGACCAATGCCTGCCATTGCCTGATGGCCGAAGCTTCACAGCAATCGTCTTGGGCGGAGCTCCCTGCTGTACATTAGCATCTGGTGCCATTAGCACCACACCGTCAGCCAGCATGGAAATCCCTCTTGACTCACCTTAGGTTGGACCTAGCCTAACCACCTCCTCTCCACATCTTTTAAGAGAAAGAGGCTAGATGGACAACATTGAGATTCGTGAATGTTGCCAATTGCTCAAAACATGCTTAGGCGAAGCACAGCTCCGAAGCTGCGACTTGATACCCCCAATTGTTAATATGCGAATATGATAATTAAGAACTGCCCAATACCATCCTCATCCAAAATAGAAAGGTTTGGATTCTCCGGGGGAAGGAAATACCAAGAGCAAAGAACTCTTGGTTCACTGATGGATCGGTCGCAGAACAAGGAGATATCAACCTGCCAACTTTAGCGACCGTATTTTGGGTAATTTGATTCGTGTATGGAGCACTTTGCTCTCATAGAACAACGTCCGAGTTGGAAGTGAACTGTCAAAAAAAAACTGTCACCAAATTACATCTCCAGGTCAGCCTTCGTGATGTAAATATGAAGGGACTGTTGTTAACTGTGATAAACTTTACAAGAGAACGAAATCCGGGTTGATAGGCCGTTGTATAATGGAACATGAAGTACTAGACGTATCGTTTGCTACTGTGGCAGACATCATTATGTGCATCGACTGCGAAGATGAAGGTCATATCTCGAAGTCTTGGGTGTTTGAGAATTTGATATAATCTTCTCCAAGAATAATGAAAATATATAGCTACAATGATGATTTCAAATGGACTCAGACAATGTGTTATTGGATAAATGAACAGGATATTTACGTCAAAAATGTTTGAACGAATAACTTACATTCTTCGAAGTGACGATGTTTTTGAACTCCTCTTTTTTGATTTCCTTTCCATTTCCAACGGTTTCCCTGAATAACTGCTCTAACCTATCCAAGCTGCCTTTATCGATACCCGTACGAGGCCTGAAATATACAAATACTACTATTATTATGAAACCAGTCATTTCAATTATTTTTATGGAGGTGTAAAAGTACAGCAGAAAATCATCAAAACACAAAAAAGTCGCAAGAGTTCATTTCACAAAAACGGAGTACTGGAAATTATTTTTTATTGATTGCAGTTCAAGGAGTACCTATTGAGATGAACCTTGGAGTCACGGTCAACGGCTTACTTCTGGCGTAATGACTAGGACTAAGTCATTTGAACATTTCCCATGAAAGTATTTTCCTTCGATGTTCTTAACTGTTAAGGTTATTTCTCATGTTTGAGTTTCGAATAAGATGTCTATACACTTATGAATGCTGGGATGCGCTTTTATTTCAGAAATTCTTGTAGACTAAGTGGGTTAGCTCTAACGTTGCCTGAAGATGGTGCGAACAGTCAATATTTCTATTGATTTTAGTCATCAATTGATCTTTAATGAATGATGTTGCCAATACTATTATTTTCCGTTTGAAACAAATAATGACGGTAATCGCAAAAACCGTGAGTTGTGATTGTGTCAAATTTGAAAAATTATATTTGTCGATAATTGAACTATTCTTTCGGTTGCTTGCTATTTGGTTAGTTTAATGAGGACTGGGTGAAATGAGGTGATATTGTTTTTTGTGTGGGTGTTCAAGAAGAGGGAATAAACATTAGACGTGCATGTGCATGTCAATAATAATGAAAGTATTCTTCTATTGTAAATCACAATAGAAGAACAAAAGGTTCGTATAATGTCTAAAAAATTGGACCGAAATTCTTGTCTCACCATTGCTCAATCTATATTAAGATGTTTCCCGTCAAAAGAACAGAGAGTGAATTATTTTTCTCAGGAGGGGTAGATCTGGAAGATATCGCGAACAAAAGCCTCAAATACTTAATAATACGTATTGCATCGTAAGTGCATCTTATATCAGATCATCCCCTGTGGAAATGAAATAGGGATCTAAGAAACCAATAAGGCCATGAGGCTGAGTGTTGAACAATGAACAAATCACGATGCTCCCAAATAGCTGGAAAAAACCCAAAGTTCAAATAGATTTCAGTAGTATTTTGTAACTGTTGATAAAAATTATCTGATTTCACATCACGACAATGTACGAACTTGAAATAAACATTGACAACTTATGATATAAGGCACATACCTTGTATTGGTTATTGTTGATAAAAATTCCATTATGGCATCAGACGATATTACCCCAGAATTTTCTTCATCGATCAGTCTAAACAATTTATCCAAAATCTGAAAGAAAAAGAACATTACCTAATTTTTCCAAAATTGAATATGGCAGTTTTTTGTACATGAAAGTTAGTCAATTCTATTCCATATGCAAGGGATTGCATATGGAATAGAATTGCAGATGGTAGAAATTTAAAATATTTGATGAGACCTATACAGAGAAATCCAGAATATCTTGGAATGATGAATGTGAAAAGTAAAAAAGTAAACTATATAATGTTTTGCTACTTGTTGAAGCAACTATTAAAACAAGGTTTGAGTCAATCACATATGTACTTTCTTTCGTCAAAAGGAAGTAATTATTCAATATTTTTTTGTATGATAATTCACAACTAGAACAACATGTTTTACCCAAATACTAATCTCTCCTAAAAATAATCACCCCTTCAATTTAGATATTAGCCTTAGTTTTCTCAGAAGTTCCAATTCGAGTGACTGAGGATTCGTAATAAAATGAAATGCTTTTTATTCCTCCGTAGAAATTGAGAAGATTGCATTTGTTCATAAAAAAATAAATAACAGTTTGTTGCGCAAATAGGTAGGTAAAGTCTCTTATATTCTAGATTTCTCAAAAAGGTGTGAAGAATAATAAAGAAATATATCGGAGAGGAATCAATGTTCATACTCACCCCTTTAGCGTGAAATATTTGGTAAAATTGATCCAAAAATATTGGTTTTTCTCCGCATAGACAAAATGCCACACTTTCCAATTGTTCTGCAAAATCAATTTGCTTTTCATTACTGAAACAAAAAAATGCCGGTTATCATAATTGTATAAGTCGTCAATATCGCAACATTTGGTTTTTTCTTATTTGAAATTTCTCATAACGTATTTTGGATGAAAGTACGAAAGAGGCGCTAATAAATTTTGGCCTATAAATCAATATTTTTCATAACAACTGAGATATTACATTTCACATGTTCATGAATTGACCTCAATGGAAATAATACAACGTGACAGTAGCGAACAGCCCCGGCTTCGCACGGGTAGCATCACCACCCCGAGCTCGCACGAATATCATCGTTATATTTTAACCAATTCACACAAAACAATAATGAATCTGTTTGGTCGTTTTTGAGCGGGGAGACTTGATAATATACTTGCGACCCAACCCGATTTTGCACAGGTAGCATAGTTATGTCATAGTTTCATATTAACTGACTTTTGATGTTAACAAACACAGATTTTGATTTTTAAATAGGTGTAAAGGTGAAATAGGTGTACTTGAAGACAATACAAAACAAAAATGCCAACTTATCCTTTAGAGTGATATATATACATTTGTGTATTAGAAATACAGACTCTAGAATAAAAATGCAGGTGGGGGTTAAAATGCTCTTGCTGATAAATAATGGTCTACAGGGTTCACGCATTCAAGCTTTGCATAGGTATCTAACTGCCCTTTTTTGTAGGACACTCACTGAAAGTACCTAATTGTTGGCTACAAAATCCCCAAAAGGAAATTCCATATCTCAAATCGGCCTCAATCATAGAGTAGTAAATCATCTTCGCTGTAGATGTGCTCAGTTCATTTGTGACAACTCTTAGTGCATAACCTCTCGCCGCTAATTTTTTTGTCAATGCTTTAATATGCAGATCAAATTTAAGTTTGTCATCAATAGATATTCTTAGGAATTTTGATTTTTTTTAATATTGAATTTTTTCAATAGGTTACACCTTTATTGCGACATTGCATTATATATGCGACACGTGTCGCATATATAATGCATTATTATGAGAAACCCAAGAAATGAGAAGAAGAAATTAGCTCTCCAGAATAGACCATAAAAAAACTGATAGAGGAAGCACAGGCAAAGAACAAGTCCATTGAAAAACAGAATATTGAGAAGAATATAATGATGGAAGAAGCACTGAAAGTAGAAAGTGAGTTGAATCAATGGATCAAATCACAAGAAAAGTCAAACACAGAAGACAAAGCCCACATAAAACATCTTGAAGATAATATTCATTCGCAAAACAACAACGGAAACAACTACTATTTTGAAAAACCTAGTTGTAAAAATCTCGTAGGCACCGAGCCGTTTTGTGAAGGATACGATGATACGATGATAGAGAGAAAATAACTCAACAACTACATTTTTACTAAATAAATGCCCAAACATTGATTCTGATAGGCTGTCATGGTAGGAATTCAGAATCAATCTTAAAGGAGCAGATAACAAACCATATGTTTGGAGCATTCATAAAACCATATGCGTTGGACATAGATATTGTGAAAGATGTAAGAAATGCGAATAACTTCAGCAAACAGGACATAGTGATCATATGGACTCAAATCACTTGAAATTGACAGCCGATATCATCTGTTTCCGTCGGGATGAGGGCAAACATGAAGGTTTTGCTGTCTACTGCAAAATGGATCATGATGGCCGGACAAGAAAAGATATATGTCACCTATCTGTAATGAATGAATTCAAATGTGCAGGTGCTAATTTTTGTATAGACAACAATGTATATGTAATAATATTTATTTAACGCTCTCCAAGTGGTGATTTTGAAGTGTTATTTATACAAATGCTTTCTTAACTTTCATTGCTCATGCAAGCCAACTATTTGTTCATTATCGTAGTAAATTTCAATGTGAATTTTTACTCAAATTCAAAGGAAAAAACAGAATTTTTTGACATGTTGCTTTCCTTTGATTTTACCTTGACGATTTAAAGCAGTAACTACTTTAATATAGTTACAAAATTCAAATATTCAAATATAGACCAAAAACTTGTACGGATAATATTATAATGGAGAATGATATTGCTTTCAGCTCAGATATTCTGAATTCTTTCAATAAATTGATGGCTGTAGCCGTTACTACGTGGTAGGAAATCATAATGAAGAAAAGAGAAATGAAACCTTTTTTTCCACTTTTATTTGTACCTAACATTACTGCAGTTTCGTCCTATACGGACATTTTCAAACTTATACAATAAACTTATTGTACATTTTCAAACTTATGCAATAAACTTATTGTAAATTTATTGTATAAGTTTGAAACAGTCCTTATAGAACGAAACTACAGTAACGTTAGTTACAAATAAAAGTGGTAAAAAACATAGAAAGTTTCATTTCTCTTTTCTTCATTCTGAATTCTTGCCTCTCTGTCCATATATGGGAGAAATAATAACTACTCAACATTTTGTGTCTATCAATGAGTGTGATTTTATTCGTGAAAGATTTTTTTCAGAATGTTATACAAAAATTCAACAATGCGTTCAGCATAAAGAACATAAAGAATGGCGCAAATTCGAAATGGGATGTATTTTTAAGTAAACTTCATGTTGCTTGCAATGAAAATAGCGAATCTTATAGATTATGAATTGAGTAAAAAGCGAACACTTCAAGAGCCTGATATAGAATAGTGATAACACATCAAGAACTACCTGAAGTATCGGTAATCAATCAACTGAATAACTAGCTAGCCAATAATGACGCTACTCTACCTTATAGTTGTGATGTTTAGTTAATCTAGCAAATGAGTTCCACAACTATTTTGTCAACTCTGCACTCATTGTAGTTGATCAGATTTCATGCTTTATTAAAAATTGTGCTATATCAATAATATGTCCCAACTTTATATTTTTTCACCAAATCAGTGTACAGGAAATAATTGCAGCTAGCTGCAAAATTAAAAATAAAATGAGGAGTAGCATAGTAAACATGCCGTTGTAATCCTTGAACATGTCTGTATTGCCATTTTTGTGTCATATTTTCAATACTAGTCTAAAAACTTCAAGCTGTCCAGACCAAATGAAGTTAGCTGTAGTCATACCATTATTCAAATAAAGGGGAATACAATGGCGTGATGAATTATCGGCCAATTGACGGACCAGTTACTCCACATGGCTGTATACTAAACAAAAAAGCCACTGCATCTTCATATTAAAAAAAAACGAATCCAACCACCATCAATTGACTAAAAGAAGTACCGTCAAGACTCTAGTGGATCGTACTTTTGGGCTCTGTAATACAGTGGAAGGTCTCGAGAAGAAATTAGGCATCATCAAAAAATATCTTCAAAGGAATGGTTACTCCAAAGTGATGGTGCAACAGACTTTAGCTAAAAGACAGCAAGAGCCGCGCAAGGAAGAGAGACCGTCACAACCAGTGCTTGCAATTCCCTACATCAACGGATTGTCGGAAAGGATAAGAAGAACTGGGTCCGAGTACAACATCAGAACCTGCTTCAGATTCGGAAATACACATAACGAGGAGAAACCAGCAAATCGGGAATTTCCAGCGCACATTACATTATGTGTTGAAAATCTGTATTTTTCGTTGAGTACAAAAATACAAGTCATACGTGTACATATTGACGACAGATTAAAGTATGTCGTATATATAGAATATCCTACCATGAAGCTTGCAAGTAAGTGTTACGTAAACAGAGCGTTGGAATGAACTTTAAACATAGATGCTTTAAAAACTACCTACTATGTAACTTTTTATTCATTTCTTAAATATAGAATAATAGTCTGAGGTGGAAATATTTATTTGCAATGCATTTTTATTACTGTTATATTTTCTATTGTGTGAATTGTGAGCTTCAATAAAGACTATCTATATATCTATATTTTACTGTATTCATCTGAGTAACTTTTGAACTATCATATTGTATTTTTATAGTGAACCACCTTGAAAAATTAGACGTCGTGGAGTTTTTTGTAGAGTTTTTAAAGAAGAACAATATGTAGCAAATTGTTAAGTTGTATATATCTCAAAGGGATCAGACAGCATTTTCGTCCTTGATTATTGGGAATAATATCATTATATTTCAAGCAATACATACAAAACATTAATAAATTATACATATCTTTCTCTTGAATCATCTCGTCCAGTGGTAAAAACCGCAAGAAAATAATTCAAGAGTTTTTCAGTTTATCGCATTTAGGCACACATACTTTTTTTGATCATGTTGACAATACTTAAAAGTCCTAATGAAATAGTTCTGAATTATTTTGACATTCAAATCCTCAATTCAAATATTAAAGATTTACCGCAGACGTCTCACTAATCTGACTGATATTCATTTGCAGATTCAAAGTATGGAAATGGTCGGTCGGTAGCCAGGTGGTTCGACGTGGGTGCTCTGTTCACTACTTCGAATCAACACTGCCGTGTTGGTCGGTGGTTCAAGCCCTAGTCTGAACGATTGATTTTCACTTGCTATCGTCCAACCCGTGTTAGGAATAACGTTAAAAGGTAAGACCTCGTTAATTCTTAGCTCGCACAAGTTTCGACTTCTGAGGGTTGTCGTTAGTAGGGGTGCGACAGCTGGTTAACGAAAAAAACAGATTTTTTTCAATCAGAATACATTGAGTAAATATTTGATAACCCTGTTCACATGAACGTATACATTTATAAATGAATCATTAGTTTTCAAAGTTTTTCGACCCATCATTTATTTATTGTTTCTTTGAACAATGTTATTATCCTTTCAATGCCGCCATTTTTTAAAGATCTGTTCCAATATAATTAGATTTCTGCTATTTTATATTCAGAATGGTTGGAGAAATTTTTTCACTCTTCTAGTGCCCAGTAGATGGCGGGGCATATAATTTTGTAGCATTTAATTTGCAAAGGATCATATTTATATAACAATGCAATAAATTAAGTATTATGACATACCAGTAATGAATGATCAAACAACAGGAGGCGACATCTTTTGAATCTAATTTTCATTTGAAATATATTTACAAAAATCGAAAATGTTTTATTTATCTTGTATCCACATATGTATTATTAATTTTCCTGGCATACACATTATAAGATAGAAAAATGAACTTGTAATTATTTTGTGTCTAGATCAACGTCTAGTCCAAAAATGAGACTTTTTGTCATCAAATTTGGTACATACGGAGAATTAAAATGATACTTTAAACAACTGTTTCGGTCATATTTTTTTCGCTTCTTTAACTCCAAGTAAAATATCAAGCATTGACCCTGTTTGTGAATTTGTAGTGAGTAGGCTGAGTTCAAATTTCGGATTTTAATTAAGTATCTTGGAAAATGTGACCGGTAAACTACATATCTATGCAGACATTTGAATTTATGAATTGAAGGTAATCCCACTATGAAATGACCCCTTCGAAGTCTTCATGAAGTTTGTGATAGTCAAGGACTGATGAGGTCTCATTTCTGAAGTGCGAGTCAGGCAATATGCAGTGATTATACTAAACACCCATATGACAGGATCACTCAGAGCGTGAATTACAATTCACTCATCGGGTGCTAGGGCAGGGATCGAATCTATTTTCACAACAACGCTTGTTTCATAGATAAAACTCACTAACCGACTGGCTTCTGGCTTCCCACATCGGTTGGTCAAGATAATTATATGTTTCTGATATCCGATAATTAAATGTTTTGATTATATTTGATGAATTTGCTTTTATTTTTAGTTATATTATGAGCATCGTCATTCTGATTTAAGAAACGAGTGATTTTTTTAAGCAAAGTAATATGTATATGAAGCTATTTCATATATAGTTTTATAGAAATATATTGAATTATATTCATTTGTATTTTCATTTGAACGTGAAATATGAAAAATAGTTGGGGAAACGTTCGTAGGCTAACATTTTGTTTTGATAAAATTTGATTTCATAATTCAATATAATTGCCTTCAAGGTCGACTCAACGATTATAGCGGTTATATTTGGCCGTTTTTCCTCGACTTCGTACTTCAAACGCTTCAATGACGATATGTTATAGTCGCCGTTGATGGTTTTTTCCTTTTCAAGACATTTGATGAATATTATACCATGCGTATCCCAAAAATTGATACCATAACATTGCCAGCTGACTGTTGCGTCTTTGCACACTTTGGAGTTGGTTCACCACGTGCAGTCCACTCAGATGTTGATCGTGTGATTCTGGTGTGAAATGGTGGAGGCATGTTCCATTCATTGTTACATACATTATCTTCAAACTGTGGAAAGTTGCTTCACTCAAAATATACTATCTCACAAACTAATGGTCCAACAGCTGTGTTTTAACCTACGAACTTTCCAGCCCACCTAATATATTATCATTATCTAAGGATCCTTAGACAATGATATTATGTCAGAGATACATAAATTGACATATTCCAAATCTATGTGGATTGAACAAAGAGAACATTTTTTAAAGAAAACGAGGAGAATAGTAGTTTTTCAAAGAAGACGACCGATTTCAAGAAGCGCGGTTTCAATCAAAATTGCATTTAGAAAAGAATGGCGTGAAAATCTTTTAAAAATCCTGAAAATCTGTCAGAACGACAGTTGAATTATTAGTTATAACGGAATAATTATGCTGTGTTGAATTTATTTTCCTATGATGGAGCTGCCAACTGATAGAGTCAATCATTATCGATTTTTGATGAAACGTGTATCCTGATGAATATAATTTGAAATATTTGGGGTGAAATAAATCTATCGAAAATATTTTATCCCCGCCACAACAAAAATACTGTCTCCTGACGAGCATTTCAGCATGACGTAATATAGTTTAAAAAAACTAAAAAACTCGCTTTCAAAGAACATCAAACTAAAATGTTAAAAATATTAATTTTTGAAATAAAATCAAACCATAACGAACGTCGCTTTTTTCACAGTAATACTAGTATTTTTCGTTCGTTATGGTTTTGAGCCTATTAAAAAAAATTATTTTAACTTTTCAGTTCGATGTTCTTCAAAAGCGTGTTTTTTAGTTTTTTTTTGACCTATATTTATTCTGGTGAAGGAAAAGTATTTTCAGTATCCAAAACAGTTGACTGCTAAACCAATCACCCTAACTATCCAAGGGTGTATTCATCGAGTGACGTATGAAAAAAAAGAAGTACCCATTGCACTCAAATCTGGTGTTCTAAAATATAATTATTATTATATTAAAAACGAAGATGAAGTACTTACGTAAGACGCTGTTTAAGAAATTCTATCCAATCTTCTTGATGTAAGCAATGGTCCCTGTCCTGGTCGAATAACTTGAATAGCTGTTCCAAAAGCTCCTGTAAAGAAAATGAGGTTATTTTAATTGCCAGCTATTATATGCATGGGAACAGATGCACTGACAGAAAGAATGCTCCTGAACATTTTCAGAATGCACAACGTTTATTTATTTGACAATTTCATTGATTCTTGTGAAAGCCAGTCATGAACGAATACACTGAATGAGTATACAGGGTATATCTTGACGAATTATCGCAATCTATATATAGAAAACTGAGAGTAGGGCGATTCCGAAAATTGGTAGGATGGGTGAAGAACTAATAAAGAATTCAACTGGAATATTAATTTTGAGGGGACGTTTCGGGTTTCACCGGAAGTTACTTCATTTTTGTTATTTTTAATGGCACACCCTGTATTTCACCTCATTTTTGAATTCTTCCCATGATTTAGATTCTAACTCATGCATCATATCCTTTATCCAAAATGAACCGTTTTCAAGTTATTCGAGTTTTTTTTAGAAAAAGTGAAGATGCAGNTAGTACTATGCACAGGCGAGTTATATAATATAAATGTTGATCATATCTAACTTGGATTCTCCTAAACATTTGAATAATTGAATGCTCGAATTATTAAATGATATTTTATTTCAATGTTGTTGATGGTAGTAAATCCAGAACAGTCTACTTATTCCGTCGCGAATGTTTGTGAGGTGTCTCCTTCTACTGTGTAGAGACTTTTGAAGAGGAATAGGTATCATCCATACAAAATTGAAATGGTACATAAATTAACTGAAGATGACCCTGATCGAAGAACAGAATTCTGCGAAATCATGACGGAAACCAATGCAAGGTATCCTACCTATCTCCACAATATTTGTTTTGGTGACGAATGTAAATTTTTCCAAACGGTAATATTCACAGACAAAATTGCCGTTATTGGAGTGACACCAACCCTCACGTTTTCCGGGAAACACATACCCAATATATAGAAACAATTAACGCCAGGAATATTGGGAAACCATATTGTAGGATCTCCATTCATTGATCAAAAATTCAACAGGGGAACTGTATTTTATCAGTTTGGACTTTCATTGTCTAATATAATATAAATTGATTTGAAATCCCTGAATAAAAATCAAAGAGATCAACCGAAAATAACAATTTTATTTGGGGAACTGAATTTGACCCCCTCATCACTGAAGTCGTTGAAGCGAATCCTAATGAATTTGATATGGATATTGTATTCCATTGAAGATGGAGCACCACCACATTACTCCACACAAGTAAGAAACTATCTGGATACTACTTTTCCCGGTCTTTGGATAGGCCGTCGAGGTCCTACAGAATGACCAGCCCGCTCGCCAGATTTGACACCTTTGAACTTTTTTTATGGGGCTATTTGAAGCAAAAGGTGTACGAAATTAAACTTTCTTCAATATTGGATATACGATAGAGAATAATAAATATTTGTAGATATATTGACGTTACTGTGTTCGAAAATGTTCGGCGTGAAATAATATCGGAAAGGCTGTTCATATGTAAAGAAGTTCAAGGCAACCATTTCGAGCATCTCCTGAACTGACCTCAAGCTTATTACCTCATATTATGTAGTTAAATGTCAATGTATTCAGACAATTATTAAAAGTTCCACCATTTTGTAGTAGTTGAAGATATTGACATTATACTCTAGGGTTGTGAAGCATTTGTCAGGAGCTTCAAAATGATGTGTCACAAGACTCCTCTTTTCATTTGATTTTTTTCCCTAGATGGCGCCCAGTCGGCGTTTCAAAAGTTTCATCTGTCAATTTCACTTCAAAATACTACGCCCAACGATTTCATTATTTTTTTATCTGATCAATTCCGTAGATTGCTGAGGAGAGTGGTGTGATGACTGCTTCCTAGAACCTTCCGAATTATTTTTGGGTTTTTGGTACATCATCTACCCCATTATTATCTTTTTTTTCCGTTTAACATTTTTTTAAAAATTTTGTTACTCAGTTCTCCTCATTTTGTTCAGCTAGTTCATTTAGCGCCTCAGTATTACAAGGTAATATGTAATCTGCCATTTTGTAGCTGCGGCCATCTTTTTCAAAGTGTACTACTATTCTACTAGTCGAACCCTTTCATTTGATACCCATATTGGGGTAGTTGTGAAAAAATATTCAATTCGCCATTTTGTAACTGGGGCCATCTTGAACTTGCATCCTTCACAAACCCTGTCATTTGAGGTGATTATGTTCCATAACGCCAACTTTTCTGAGGTCTTTTTTATGGTACGTTTTCATTCAAATTTCAGGTCAAATTATCAAAAGAACAATTTGTTCAGGCCAGTCTCAACTCACCTACACTGTAGGTTAATGGACTGACATCTATCAGAAAACAGATACCTCCCCTGGTTAATACTACGAAGGGCAACAGGATTATTTACAACGTCATATCCGAATTGGGCCATTTGGATATGCCGTTGGTTAGTATCTCGTTTACGGGCAGATGGTGCGATGACAAATATGTTGTTTGTCGTTCGCTTCAGCCTTGTTTGAAAAATAGTACTCTGAAAGGAATTCGATTGTTAATTATGGGAAATCATAGACTTCTTGTTGGGGATAGACACTACCTTGCGCTGACGGTCTGCAACTGAAATCGATTCCGGCAGTTGTATCGCTAACAGCATACGCCGGAATTGCTTCTGTGAAGAATACTGCACTGACGCCATTCGTGGTATTAACCAGGGGAATAGTTGTCTTCTGATAAGTATCACTCCATCAATCTACAGGGTGAGCGACTTGAGACTGGCCTGAACGAATTGTTCTTTTAGATAATTTGATTTACAACCAGTCTTCAAGTATGCTCTCTTCCTATATGTGATCTATATATGCCTTCGGCAAAAAAAAAATGGTCTGCAAGGTTATGCAGATGACCTTGTCATTTTGGCAAGGTCCACGTCTTGAAGGGTAGCTTGTAATATCTTCCAAAGCACGATGGACATTGTTGACAGTTGGTGACTGATGGAGCAAATGTCTATTAACCACAGCAAAACTGTGATAATTCCATTCACCAGGAGAAGGTAAATTTCCTCAATGATGAGGTCATTCCATTTGGAACGGAGGTGAAATATCTTCGTATTGTCCTTGATGATAATTTCACCTGGAACTCTCTCTTGGAAAAAGTTTTACACAAAGCCAGCCTGTTCCTATGAACACGTAGAAGGATTTGTGGTGAAACTTGGGAAATAGGTCCCAAACAAATCCATTGGATTCATGTGATGATTGTCAGAACAATGAACAATTATGGTGCACTTGTCTGGTGGCCGAAAGCTTTACAGAAAACGGCTCAGGCGAAGCTCTCTGGCTTATAGAGGCAGGCTTGTCTGGCCATCAGTGGCCACACTGTCAGCGGCCATGGAGATCCTTCCAGATCCACCTCCTCTCCACATTTTTCTGAAGAGAGAGGCTAGATGGACTGTATATAGACTTGTGCACATTGTCAATTACACAAATCAATTTAATGCAGAGTGCAACAGACTGTTGGTTGACATTGGAAGTCACAGCATTCTGGGAATGATCTCTGATATTATGCCTCCAACTGTCAACTACAAATTGTCTTATAAATTACTGTTCCCGAGTAGAGAAGGGAGAAGGAGATATTGAGAGCAGATAGTTGTTGGTTCACAGATGGATCAAAAATACCTTCTGGTTCTGGTGCAGGTGTTTTTAGTCGTAGACCCAGGACAGAGATATCAACCTGCCTAGGAACGTATGCGACTGTATTTCAAGCGGAAATTTACGCTATTGAATTGTGTGCGAAGTGAATGGAAGACTACAACCACATACACAAATCAATAAAAGTATTCTCGGGAGTGTGGATAGGTGTGAGCCACAATAAACCCTTGCGGGTTGCGGTGTAGGGTCGAATAGACACACTCACTTCTGACCTAACATAACCTATCCTATATATGAACAAATTTCAGGTATTGGTTGTGTGAATATTTTAGGTAATGAAATTTATTTACGGCCAATCCTGTAAACACCAAAAAACGGTTTCTTTCATCAACCATTTTTAAAATTTCTGAATGATTTATGGAAAACGGATCAGTCGCTCATTCAACTGACAACTATTCGTACTTTATTGTTGTATTCCCGACTCAGCAAGTTCTGATTTCCGTAGTAATAACTGATCGAATATACAATAAATTCAAGTAGGTACAAGTAACGAACCGTAGGCGGAACACATCTTTAGCGAATGTTGTTTTTTTTTTTCGTGAAAACGCTCATTATTTACTAGCCTTCATTCTCCGCTTTTCATATACAGCGCCTGTGGCAGTAATGCATGTAGTTGTAGATTCTGGTATGATATACTCTATTTTTTTTTAATGGCTGACTGACTTGATGTATGCCTCAAGAAAATACTGGAGGCGATTTGGACCTTCTTCAAATTATTAATGGCATTAGGGGCACATTTGATACCCATCTTATGATGATTTATTACTGATGGTGAGGTAGATTTTATATTGATTGAAATATTGATGATATTTCAGCTCCACAGAACGTTAACAATTAGAATTGTCTTGAATATAGAATGTTCAATAATTACGATAATATCAAATTGAATTTGTGAATTTCTGAAAAAAAATTTCAATATCAATTGACAATCATGTTTGACTATTTCATTCCATTGGTGCAATTTGATTAGGACAGTACCAGTGATTGAAATTGTGAGAATAATGTATAACTAGACTCCGAGGGTCACATATGATTCAAGAATAATGATACCTGGATGTTGATTTCATGTCTAACAGTTTTATCGTTGTTGGGAAGAAGCGTTATATCGCTATAAAACTCAGTTTTGGTGGCCCACTCTTCAATTTCTTCAAGATGTTCTAGCCTTTTTTTATTTTCACTTTGAAGATTAATAGTTTTGCATACTGTCTAACCAATTCTCGAAACTCAGTTTTGGTGGCCTAGTACTGAATTTTTTTATCATTATATCGAGTAAAAGGAAATAATCAGTAAAACTTATTGCCTCTCCAATTACTATTCCAAAATACTAGTTCATAATTTTGCAGTTGCAATCTTTGTGAAAAAAATCTTAATTTTGAATCAGACCAATAGCGTCATTTCACGTATTAATGAAACAATATTCCTTCGTAATATGTCTTTATAGTTTTCCCAGACACGGGATGTTATCACTGTTCGAATTTTTTTCTGAGTAAGACAGAACTAGCGTTTCAAGAACATTCGGAATGTACAAGAAAGTTATTATTGTGTGATCACAGCTAAACACGGCTGAATAAGAGGCTGAACATACTTTGAAATTTCAAACGTATTTTTTTAGAAACTGAAGGTTGACGATACCTTCATAATATGGAACCAGAACTAGAATACAGAACTAGATACCTTCCTGAAGCAAATCAACAACGTAAGACCTTCCACCACTTTCACAATGGAAAAGGAAGTCCACAACGAGTTGCCATTTCTAGATGTATTGGTGAAGAGGACCGACATTAAATGGGAAACCTCAGTACCCACTCTGAACCAGGAATCCAACCACCGTATATCGACTAACAGAGGAATCGGCAAGACACTAGTAGACCGTGCTTTCGGGCTCTGTAATACGAATGAAGGTCTCGAGAAGAACCTGGGCAGCATAAAAAATGACCTTCAACGGAATGGTTACTCCAAAGTGATGGTGGAACAGACTTTGGCTGAAAGACAGCAACAGTCTCGCAAAAAAAGCCATCACAACCAGTATTTGTACTTTCCTACATCAGAGGATTGTCGGAAAGCATTTCCACGCCACCTATGAGGTAGTGTACTTAGCGCTTTTTTTAACGTGGGTTCAGTTGTGATTCTGTTTAATTTAATACTATTGCAAAATAATGGATATTAGCAGAGATTGAGAAGATAAAAGCAATTTAAGTTAAAAAAAGTGGTTAAATTTAATCGCCCGAGTCGTAACTTTCAAATTCTTCTTGTTCTTCTTGATCTTCCTGTTCTTGTTCGTCTTGTTCTTCTTCTTCTTCTTTTTTTCTTGTTCTTCTTCATCTTCATCCTGAGTACACGTGAAATGCGTTAATAACGATGTATCACATGTCGCCTCGTTGAAATCAAACGGATCCTCCACTCAAGGCCGTAGCCAGGGGGGATCAAGGGGGATCGATCCCCCCTGAAAGTTCAACAAGCAACGGCCATCCAAAAATTATATCAAATACAACGATTGGCTTGTTTAAACATCACAGGAGTCATGAGAATAACACCAACCGCGGCAATGAAATTAATTACTGGTCTGTCCCATCTGGACCTGTACGTTAAGAAGGTTGTGTTACGATTGCACACGGCTGGTGTAAACCTCGAAGCGCAGTGTGCGAGAAGCGCACAGGTTTGTGTTCAATAAACTCTACAAAATACAAATAAAACAGAACACAAAGTCAGATGCTACAAATGCAATACGCATGTATATAGACTGCTCAAAAACCAAAGGAGACTCAGGATATGGAGTGTACTCCAGATCACTAAGCCTAAGGATTGATTGGAGAATGGGAAAAAATACCAGCGTGGTTCAAACAGAACTGGCTGGTATCTCAATCGCCACAAAATTAATAACCAGGAAAAGAATTTCTGGCAAAAAAATAACAATCTGCACTGATAGCAGACAAGCCCTATTAGCCTAGAACAGACAACGTGTTACCTCAGGGCTAGTACTGGAGTGCCACCAAGATTTAGCCAAAGCCTCGGTAGATAATAACATTATCCTGATGTGGATCAAAGGGCACGACAGGGGTAAAGGTAATCGCATTGCCGACTCTTCAGCCAAGGAAGCGGCTGGACTAAGAATTTTACGACCCAGTGACACCTACATCCTGATGATTTCGACAATTGCGGATCTAGCCAAACGTTACACCCATGCTCAATCCCTAAGGAGATGGGATGAAATCACAGGATGCACTCTTGCCAGGATCACCCTGGAAGTCCCTGAGAAGCTGGCTCCGAAGAATTATCTAGCGATAACCAGGAAAAATCTACGCTCAACAGTAGGATTTCTGACTGGCCACTGTCGACTAAGAAAGCACCTCCATTATATGGCGCTAGTGGACACACTATGTCCTATGCGAGTGTCCGGAGTTATCGTCAATAAGAGAGTGTGTTTGGCGAGTCTTGGCCTACACCTGTCGATATAAAGGAGATGTCTACTAGTGATCTGTCCAACTTCCTGGAAAGGACAGAATCGACGATGACCTAGGAGGACCACTCCTTGGGAGGATGTACAATGGGTCACATGTGGCCTAAGTGCTGTGGGCCTACACTAACCCTCCCTACTCTACAGAAACAGATACTATTGAAATTATGAAATCCGTTTGAAATGTTTTCAAGTCCTTGGCAACACGAACCAAGCAGTGCTTGGAAGAGAATATTGAAAAAACTTCCCGAAACACAATGGAAAAACCTTACGGCAATGTGCGTACAAACTTTCAAAGATCATGGCGATACTACTACAAACTTTCAAAGATCATGGCGATACTACTTGTTTCCACATGTACCCCTGAAAGGACTTTCTCTTCTCTGAAATGCCTCAAAACTTATTTAAGAAACTACACAAGCCAGGAACGACTAAACGGTTTGGCGTCAATGGCAATCCACCGTAGAATTGACATCGACACCGAGAAGGAAATTGATTTGTTTGCTGCAAAGAAAGCTAAAAAACTAAATTTAATTTTGTAAAAAGATGTTTATATTTCTGTAACGGTTTTCTAATAAATATATGATCATGTAACACAATTTTATTCCCTAGTTATTTTTATATTTCATATTTTTCTACTGTTCCACCAGACCAAACCCCCTCCGAAATTGTTCTCTGGCTAGGCCTTGCCCCCACTGTTGCACCCCTTTTTGCAGTTGCAAAACATTGTGTTCAGCTATTTTTTCGGCGCAGGTGGAAGTGAAGATTGGACTGGTTCCAATTGAACTTGGTAATATATCCGAAAACGATGTTGATGAGCAGCAACTGAGGTTGGAGGAAGACAAAGTAATTGTACTTGTTTTTTACTTTTGGCATTTTCAACGAAACATGCATATCTATACTTATCTAAGCAGGTAGTTTTTCAGGAGCTCCGTACATAGAAAGAAGAAAGCGAATGCCATTAGTGATAATTTCTTGTCGAGTTGAAATAATATTTTAAAAACTCCAGCACATTGAACTGAAGTTTGTTTTTCAAACATTTTGAAAACTGTTATTTTACCCCCCTGTAAAATGCAGTTGTCATTTTACCTGATATTCTAATAGTTATAACTCATGTATATTTTATATCATAAGTGTCAAAAACGGTGGCTCGTAGGAAAAAGAGTATCGATACATTTATTATAGATAATTTTATGATCTACAATTTTTGTCTGTAGTATTTCTATGATAAAACTCACCAGTTTGCTGAAATTCGCGAAAAACTCATTTTTTTGGCCGTTGACCTTGAATATTTTTTTTCATGCAGGGAAAAGATGGGGAACTTTCAAATTTTGTTTTTGATGTTTTTTTTAACAATCTTACTGATTTTCAGCTTGGTGGGAAATGTTTTTTATCATTTTATCGGTTTGATGTGAAAAATCAGATATATTTTATGTGTATTACTGCCAAGGCACAAAAATATATTTCTGTTGAAGATTTTATTAGTAGTTAATTGTGAACTACAGATGAATATTGGAGAATGATGATATGCAGTATATAAAATAATATTTCAAGCTATAATTCAAATGCAGATTTCAAAAAATGAAAGGGAAACATATGAACATACAAAGTTTAAACATTTCATTCTGATGATTTCAAAAATTTGAGATTCATGATCATTAGAAAAAAAAATTCTGACGCTAAATTCAAAACAATATATTTTATCTTCTTTTCCTACACCCTACTTCGATGAGTAAAACAAATAGTGGAGGTAATAACCTAAACTCTGTCCATACAACAAACATAGTAACCCAAACAAAGATCTGTCTATTTATGTTTTTCCGTTAACCAGCTGTCGCACCCCTGCGAACGACAACTTTCAAAAGTCGAAACTTGTGCGAGCTAAGGACTAACGAGGTCTTACCTTTTAACGTGTTATTCCTAACACGAGTTGGACGATAGCAAGAGAAAATCGATCGTTCAGACTGGAGCTTGAACCACCGACCAACATGGCCACGTTGAACCGGCCGGCTACCGACCGACTAAGATAGATGCGTGATCAAGGCATGATCATCACTCACCACCACCACAATTTTTGAAATGTCAAGTACTGATGTGGCTGAAGAGTCGGCTAATTTGTGCCCCTACACTCCATCTAAAATATGTTCCTATACCCAGCCGCATATTTCAAATAAATCCTTAGTGCGACTGTTGAAACCTGTTATTCAGATTTTCCAATTATTCAATTTGTTGCTTGTTTTTATATTTTTTTGCTCACAATATAGTTGTTTTAAAAAAGAAGGAGACTGACAGAAGTTATTTTGGAAAAGTCATTAAAATTTTGTTAGACTAAAAATACAGTTTTATTGACTATAGTCTCAACAGTGACTCTGTACAAGCAGCCTTGTCTGGGAGATCACGTGTACTATGCATGATAATATTTTGGAGCACTCCGGTACTTAGATGGACAGAGTATAAAGTAGGTCTCTTGAAAAAAAAATGGAAATGAATATTTCCTTCGAAAGAATTTTCAAATATCAAAGAGTACTGGTTTCGACCTGTGAAATGTTTTTTTCAGTTTAAGAGTTTGATTTTCATCTTTATCGCATATTTTCCTTTTCAGGTGACTTTCATTTCACTTATTGGGTTTTGTGAAGGAATCTTATCAATAGGGTAGGTATATTCTGGTTTTCTCAAAACGGAAATATTGTTAATTGTTTTCAAGCCAAGCTTCAAGAACTCAACCTAGCTTTTTGTCTACGATGAGCCTAAATGAATCGCTTCAACTTAAAATTGAATCTACAAACAACAGATATTTATGTACCTACAACATTCATGACCGTATTCCCGTATGGTATTGAGTCTGGCTTATACCTTAAGCTCGTTCAATTCGTAAATTTTATATACATAGTAACAAAGCTTTGTTAAGCTAGAACCCTTAACCCAAGCTTTTATGAACATAACCTAGCATTTTGACTGCGGTGAGGACTGGCAAGTACCACTATAACTCAGAATTGTACAAATAGCAGATATTCATATACTCAAAACATTCAATTCTTGGTCCTTGTTCTAAATCAGTGCCTATCGAAAAAGTTCGTATTTTACTTTTTACAGCTGAACGATACACACAACTACGGAAGCACAGAAAAGCCACATATTTTTATTATTTGTTTCTTGGAAATTCCCACTTTAATCTAACTAAAAATTACGAATTTAAACTCAAAATTACGACTCTAAATTCGAGTTTACTAACATTCCCATTGATTCACATTGTGACTTAGTTAAAGTATAAGTTTGCTGTGTGATGTGTTAGATATATTTAATGCAAAAGTCATTTCATATTTTGTGTTTTTTCACGATGAGGACATTTTCTGCTCCAACCTGTCGGAATTGAGTATCCAAAATATGAAATATCTTGTCTATACCTGACAAAACAACCTTTTTTTTCTACTTGAATTGCACAATTTGAACCAGACATCTTTGATTCTGACATAAAATTCTTCTTCTCCCTGCTTATCATGCTTGTTGAGCATGATTTATTCAAAGAATTTCAGCAACTAAAGTTAAGTAATTACGATCATAATAAAGCTGGGCTTAATTTTTTAGCCAAGCTCAGTAAGGCTTGGCTTTGACGATATACGGGGAATACGGACATATATTATCGATGTTAAAGCATCGGTAGATCTTTCAACTTCCCGTGATACATAATTTGTAACCGATTTTAATCTCCACTTTACATAATATCGACCAAATGCGACCTGTTGCCTTTAATAACACTTTATCGTTTCCTTAGGAATTTCCCAAGGGCGAGACCCCTCGTCCACTCGGAAGAAAACATTCCATTCCTCCCCGCGGCCTACTACGCTCCGACGGGTAATAAATTTTACATGCAGCTATCGGAGATAAACAAAAAAACTCCGAAATATGTGAGCATCCGTAAATTGATGGGCAGTTTCTTGCCAGCAGACGCTCCAAAAAAATGCTGTGGGAATGAATGGGTAGCCGATGATCAGGAAGTGCATCTCGTACACGGTGAGTTGAGGTGAATGGCATTGGCCCGATTGCGTGCACAGGGTGTTCTTCACATTCTCGAAGTAACAGTTGCTGAAAATAAAATATATAAGATTCGAACTAAGGGTTAGTTTATGGGTACGACGACGTTATTCGAAATTCAAAATTAGATGCCAGCGCCGTTTGTGGCGAAAGTGAAAAACATAGATGTCTACATTAGATCTATAGGTTATACCTACTGCAAACCACTGTGTTTTGAGACACCAGGGGACGCTTATTTTGAATTGATGCCAATGTAGAAAACTAATTAATCTGACAGTAAAACTTTTCAAACATGTCAATTGACACTTTTGGATCATGTCCATTGAAATCTTATGAGATATATGATGGAATTGGCCGAAACTTGATGAAAATTCATAAATAACGTATTCAAAAAACACAAAACACTAAACAGTTTTGCAATGGCTTCTTCGGGCGTGTCTTTACTCAACTTTTCAAATCTAAAAATGACACTTTTCAAACCTGTCAATGGGGAATGTTCCTCAATTTGGGATATTACAGCAAATGCAAGTTTGAACAAAATAAAGTTGAGTTTAATATCCACAAGCCACATAAACAACAGTTGTTTTGTTATTTATTTATATAGAGGAAGATAGGTTAGGTGCACAAAATGTCATATGTCACAGAATGTCTCGGAACTCGGAACATAAGTAAACAGAACAGTAGGTACGCCTCTGAAATATGTCATCTTTGTTTGCCTCATACAGGTAACAGATTCATTGTCCTTTATTAGCTATAACCGATGTTGTCAAATGGTGAAATAGAAACGAATTCCTTTAAATGTTAAATGCATTATTTTATTCTTCTTTTTTAAGTATTTAAATAATTTCTTAAAGGAAAAGGTTGAAATGATAAGTTTAAAATGCGTTGTTTTAGAGGTCTTTTATGAAAACTACTTGATTTTCGTCAGGAGGAACATTCCCCATGACACTTCCCGAATATGTCGATCGGTACCTTTTAAATATATCAATTGGCACTTTTCAAATCTGTCAATTGACATTTTTTGAATATGTCAATTGTTACTTTTTGAATATGTCAATTGGCATTTTTCAGATCTGAAATTACAAAAATGGAATTACATATTTTTGTTTAATAAAATTGATATTTTTCGGCTAATCTTTTTTTACAGATTCTTTCAGGGATTTTAAATCAATTTATATTATATCACACAATGGAAGTCCGATCTGATGAAATAAATAACAGTAATACTCGACGCTAGTTTTTTCAGATTTTATTTATGACTTCACACTGCTTACAGTGACTCGTCCTGCCGCCTAACCTCACTGATCTCTTTTTATAGATCTAATATGTTCTCTTATCCATATTGTAGTATCCCTGATGATGATAACTGTCTTTTCGGGTTTTGATCCGTGTTCTGTGTTTTTGTTTCCACTGGGACTAAGCAGTCAAGCTAAGTCTAAACACACCAAATGAGAAGAAGAAACACAGGTAAAACATCACATAGGTAACAATTAGCATGGACACTTGGCCATGACGCTTTTGATGTGGAAAAGTATCTAGACGCCATTTTGGGAAGTGACGATAGGAGGGCAGGACTCGCGAAATGGTTTTGGACAGGTTCGCACTCAAACTTTTTTATATCCAAAATACTCATATAATTTTGATATACCTACCTTACGGAATGGAACCAAATTCAATTGATATAATAATTCTTGTGCAGACATTCTATCTGGTTACATGATTTTTTCAAAAAATGTCAAAACAGCCGAATCATTTCTAAAATCACCAGTAGGAATACAATGCTTCAATCAACTGGAATATGAAGGAAAAATTGTCCACCAATCAACTTTTTGGTATAAACTTTGTGATCTACCTCTCTTAAAATAAATGTGATTTTGTATATAACTAATTGACCTTTCAGTTAAATTGCTTGTTCTTCATTATGATGAATGAACTCTTTTTCAACATAATGTATTTTTTATACATACATAGGTAAGTCCTATCCAAACATCAACTTACTTTTGTTACTCCAATCTTTTTATTCTTTTTTAGTAATACGTTCACGGAACGTTTTTTACCCTACTGAAATGTCAATATCATGTAGTTGACCCACTTAGGAATATTACTCCACTATATAACTTCAAAAGGTGAGATATTGGGAAATTTTCAAATGGATGGTTATAATCAAATCGTTCAAACAATGATACAAATCCTGAAATGACATTTGTTCCTACAATAAGATTCTCAAAATTGCTTTAGAAGTTTACTTTCAAGGAGGAAATGAAATAAACAAATTAATTTTTGGGCATATACTTAAGTTACCAAATGTGTCAAGAGTTCCATTTTGAAATGCTCTGAAATAACAGTACAGAGATTAATTATTTAATTCACAATTTATCCTAACAAGAGCAAAGCCAAAAGCAGTCACTTCCCGAAATGGCGGACTCATCAACGTGACGGATATGCGTGAACTTTTCCTGCCAAGCGAAGTGACTTTGCTGATTGTTACTGTTACTGTGAAAACATCAACATCCATACTTATATAGTAAGAATCAAACTCGAGCAAGGTCAGTCTGATTCCGAACACCAATAAATAAGCACCAGTAGAAGGCAAATGAAACTTTGCCGAAACGTCGTGAAATTAGTACCAGTGAGGATAAAAACACAGAACACAAAACAAACTGAATGATACAAATTTATTCATAGAAAACTTTATATTTCTCTTTCATTCAAATCTATACTTAATATTTATCTCTGGTCCACGAGACTGGAAATCACAAAATATTGTTTGAGCACTGTGTTAGCGTTTTGCATTTTTAATGAGCATTTATTATTCTTTGCTATTAGGAAACAGAGTATAAACGTAGCATCACGACGATTTAGACAAATGAGTGAAAGTACAAGTCAGCCTCAAGAGGAAACTAAATTTACATTGAACTTTGAGAAAAGTTTATTCAGTTCCACATAAAGAGTTTATTCTTTGAAAGAAGTAGGAAAATGAGTTTTTTGACGAATAACAAGTCCGTAGGTATAGAAAAATAACTTTTACATTCTCAAGTTACCGTTCCACGGAGACCGGCAATAAATTTTTAATTAATATATTGCTCCATCTCATCGTGGGAAGCCCGTTTGAACCACTCCCATTCGCATGCATCTTCCTTTCAATTAGTAACTACCTACCACCGTGCTTCGGTACTTTCGGAATGGAGTGTGAAGAACAACCTGGAAAAATCCGTTTCGCCTGAATGAAAGTTTGGCCACCCTGTCGTCGGGAAATTTGAATAATCACTTCATAAAAGAGGTAATTTAACCAGTTTCAGTTTTAGTGCCGACGACTTCGCCCCTTTTCTATGGATACCGAAAATCGGAGGACGTCAAACCGGTTACAGAATACATTGAAGATGACTTACAGTACGATTTCCGAACAAAAACCCACTCGATCCGATAGAGAAGTACATGCCTACCGCATCATGATTCTTTTGTTCGGTAATAATGTTAAGTCAACATGTCAAAATTTGATTGAACGTTGCTTTGGAGTGGTTTGTAGGAACAGACGAGAGTAATTTACTTTTTCTGGGCATGGATATCTTCATTTGTTCTTCTGTACTTTTAGCTCACTACCTCCCAATAAAGCGTTTGTGTTAACTAGGCTAGTGATCTAATGACTTTCACCATCCGATTGTTTCATGTCATTTGTGTAGTGTTTGGTTCGGAATATTTTATTACTAGGTACAGCATGTTTTATCATGTATCTAATATGTCAGAAAGTTTAGAAATAATTCATATTCGACATTGAAAAACTTCTTTTCGAGCCCTGAAGAAGAAATTAGTTAGTTTGAAATGTTGTCAAAAAAAGCAATTATTTTTCTGAGAATAAATGATACTGTTACCCGATCAACCTCTATGGAAATTATAATTATGATTATTGTTCATTGTTTCATTAAAATCTTCCTCTCTAAATAATACACGATAAATGTTGTAATACTATTGATGGATATCCCTCGAATACTTTTACCATCAGCGCTGGTGTTCCCCAGGGATCCATATTGTCTCCAACCCCCTTTTCATTGTATATCAACGACTTATTGGTCCAAGAATCCAATATATTGCTTTGCTGACGACAGCACACTTGTCTATGTTGTGAAAATTTTATTTGAAACGTATTTGTGGGTAATATAAATGATAGTTTTCCCAAATTAGAAATATGAGGGATTCCGGAAGTAGACAATTAGATGTTGATGTGAAATAAACAATCCTCCATAAGCTGGCCAATCATAACCAACTGCAATCGGCTGGCGGAATTCATTGTTACAGTGTCGGAGTGGTCAGTTACGTTTAAACGCCTGCAGTGTGTACGTATGCGGTATTTTATTTAAAGTTTAAAACTTTTGAAATGTAAGGTACTGATACGGTTGAAGAAACTGCTAATTTGTGTCCCTACACTCCACCAGAAAAATGTTCCTATACCCAGCCGCATATTGGTCTGCAACCAGACCAAATCATCACAGCAGAGTCCTGTTGTGAATAAGTGTACCGAAAATTGCCACAGCAGCAGCGATTCTGCTCTACGACAACGCCGGTCAGCGCCTTTCACATATCACCGTCCGAAAATTAAACGAATTGAGTTCCGCCTCATCCACCATACTCCCCAGACCTCTTGCCAACCGACTACTATCCTTTGAAGCACTTCGATAACTTTCTCACCGGTAGAACCTTTGCCAATCGAGATCAGGTCTTTGTCGACTTCATCGAATCCCCAGTACCCAATGTTTATGTTGATGGATTTATTCGACTTATGTTACGTTGGCAAAAGTGCACTGATTCAAATAGCGCGTATTTTGATTGAATAAGTATTCACTGAGATATTAAAGATACGAACGGACACAACTTTGGTAACAATTCACTCACCTAAAATTGGTAAATTTTATTGTTTGGACCTTATATCGATTGATACCTATTGATAATATTCAGGTCTGTTGATTCAATTTGCAAGTCACCTATCGGACTTATAACGTAAAATACTATTATCTCTGATAAATTTGAGTGTTTATCTGTTTTATACGTTCTTTCATGTCCAGTCACACATATATGTGTCCTCACAAACTGATAAACCTGTGATAATCTCTGTTTTTCATATTTACGTTTACATATTTATCTACTACGGTTGAGTTTATCATATGTTCTAATTGTTAACGGCGGCTTCACCCGCATAGAATTTCGTCACATTAAGTTTCGTGACAGACCATTTCAAACAAATAGTTACAAAATTTTTTTTTATTAACCCAAAACTTCGGGTTTCCAACTTCAAAACTAACGAAATTCAATAATCTTTGAACCCCTATTTTCCCCTTTAGAGGTGGAAATTCCTGATTCTCTTTCTTGATGCTTATTTACGCTATACAAAGAACCTACCTGCATACTTCAAGATTCTAGGTTCAGTAGCTTCGGTTGTATGTTAATATATAATACGTTGATATATATAATACAGTTACCAAAAAAATATGCCATCTGCATTAAGTAATGCATAACTTCAAGAATCGAATTATGTTACCTATAAAAAAATCGGAAAACTAACACAACCGTCAACGACGTCTGTCCTCGCGCGTCTACCCGCGTTCGAGTCGCATTCTCGGCGATGACCGAGAATGCGAATGCTTAGACCGCCCCTGTACCCCCGCGCATCCTTCCCCGTCGTATTACAGTAGACGCGACGCGTAATGGCTTACTGCGTTGCGTCAAGTTAATCTTATCGTGATAACTTTTAAACGATTCGTCCAAACAACTTAGTGTAAAAGACAAAGTTTGTCTATAATAATATAATCGAAAATATGGACTTCAAAGACTCCAGGAAATCAGTTGGAGGGAAATAAGATATATTCTTACGAAACTGCAGCTGCATGAACAGGTGTTTAAGTTTGGTGAATAAGTAGGAAACATTCTCGTTCATCATTAAAACCTCGTTCTTGAAATTCTTCGTCATGAATAACACTTGGAAAATGCTATTCATGTAGGAAGTGTTTCCTAAATTATCCAATCTAATTTTCTTCTCAAAATTTTCAAGACAACTCTCTACTGATACGTAAGGAAAAACATGTTTCACATAATCTGCATAAGAACGATTTCTCAAGCTGCCATCAATCCTTCCAAATGGTGAAAGATTTCGTAGAGGGATCGCTTCGGCTCTTGCTTCATGAAGCTCTTCCACTGAAACGGAAGATTTTATCATTTACCAATCCCAAAATGTGACACTTTCTGAATATTAGGGAAAGTAAGATGAATACTCTAATTTTCAATATTCTCGCTGAAAATCACTTCAAATGATTGAATGTAATGAGCATGTAATGAATAGGTAGGAGATAATTCATAAACGCTGATTAAACTTTCCAGTCCGCTCACTTCCTCAGAAGGAGTCAAATTTCCGCAGCGATAATTAAAGAGTTATAACATTCTGGTACATATCCTATATATTTATATAATAAACATTTCACTTCTATCAATCGGGAATTTCAAAGAGCATTGTCAAGGTAACTTTCATCTTTACTTGCAGACATCGGCGAACGGTCATCTGTTAGTGAAAGTGTAGCAAAGAAAGTTGTTAACATTCAGTTAATATTCAACAATTTTTAATGTTGCTTCGGGATATTCCTCTGGTTTCGAAACTTGAATTCAAGTGGTTTCGTCATAACGAGTTAACGAGATTCATTATACAACAGAATCGAAACATCTCAATAGATGCAGCACTCGTTTGTAGATGCAGCTCGATATCAAACCATTAATTTTAATTTATGTAACTGTCGGGCATTCTCAGATGTCCGTTTTCATGTTTCGAAATCGGGCGGGTTGTGAAAAGAAGTGGGAGTTGAGTAATTATAGATAAATAATACTGAGCACAGAAAATGGTTTTTTGAGAAGGGATTAAACTCTGATATTCTTTTCAATAATTCACTGTCTTTGTTCAAGGTAAAAGTAACTTTGAAATTTCCACAAACCTTCCAGCAAATTGCATACTTAGTCCCCCGGTTTCATGATAATTTTGATGACTTTAATATGATGTGGTTGGATGAAAGATCAATATCTGCCTTGATTTATCATGTGCAGAATTCAGAATCATGTAGAATTCCACTACTTGTGATATACTGTTTGGAACCTTTGGTGTAGTAATGAATATTACTGGAGTTTTTTCCCAAAACCAAATCGTTATTTTTACACCTCGACACTTGTTTCGATCACCAAGTGATCATCTTCAAGAGGAAGATAAAACTAGAATTCTACTATTTGTTAGGTCAGCTGATTTACGGAAAAACAGATTGCAAACAGGTTAGTATCTCTTGTACTGAGTAACCCTAAAATGAAATCATTTTTTTACCCTAGTATGCATTGGTCAGGCCCTATCCCTCGAAGCCCCGTGTTAGGAATCACTCGTTAAAAGGTAAGACCTCGTTAGTCCTTAGTTTCTCAACTTCTGAGAGTGGTCGTTCGTATAAGGGCGACAGATGATTAACGAAAAAACAGATTTCAAACAGATTTAAACAGATTCGGTAGGGCGCGCCAGCATTACCAACCAACGACCATTCCCCACACCTTGGAATAAGTGATCATTGGGTGCAAGAATCATGTGCCCTGAGCAAGCACAGTTAACCAATAATGACACCCTTCTGCATCTCTCCGGCTAATATTTCTGCCTTAGTGCGGCAACCCGGTATGATTTTAAGATTCGAAAGTAGAGAGGACATCATTCCACCAAGGACTTCAATAATCATAACAACTATCTTGACAGAGTGGTCTGGATAGAGTCTGCGGAGTTCGAAGAGATAATCTTGATGTGTTTTCCGTTTTTCCTCCTCTTTTTGGACAGCCAGGAGCTGAAACCTCCACGACAAATATGTCTTGCTCTGGTGGTGGTTAATTTTACAATGTGTCCATAAGGACCTTTTTACTTCTAAGTATTTGAGTGTCAACAGGAGGAAAAAGAGGTGGAGGAGTAAGTACATTTATAAAAAACATATCTAATTCTCAATTATTGAAACTGAACCTACTATCACAATATAAGTCTCATTATTAGGTTGTGTCGAAAGTTTTGTCCGTTTTTGTAGTGGATATTTATTCAAATTACCTAATTGAAATAACTGAGTCACTGCACTTTTGAAGTAAAACAAATTGATTAATTTCGTCTGTATAAAAATTGGATGTTCGGGATTGGATAAAGTCGACGAAGGCCATTTTTGCCGGGTCCTGATTGGCGAAGGTTTTACCGATGAGGTATAACTTTGACGCTCAATTCGTTCAATTTGTGGAAGATGATTTGTGAAACTTGCGACGGGAGCAACATCAAACCTTTTCTGTTGACCATTGCAGGCTGCTGCCCCAGCCGCTGACCACCATACAGTAACCATGGTCTTTTTTAGTGAGTTTTTGCCTTTGAGAAGTGCCTGGGTAGTTCATCGGTATCGGTATTTCCTGTTATTGTAGGAGGTCCACTTTTTATCACACATGACGATCCTATCAAAAAAAGGATCGTTTTGATTATGCAAAAGCAAAAAATGGACCTGGAAACGTGACAATTCCTGTCAATAGTTCAAATCGTTGGTCACCCACTTTATGAGCTTTTCGATTTTTCTAATACCGAAGGGAGCTCATCTTTGAGACTAAAATCTCCGGAACGAATCTTCGCAAACCAATATCGAACATAACCGCCAAATGCCTGGTTAAGTTTTTGGGCGGTTACGGCAGCGCTTTGGTTCAATTTGAGAAAAATTGGCCGAAAATAGCTTAACATCATATAATGGGTGATTTTTTAAGAGGTATAGGATTTGATTTTCAAAACAACACAAAAAATTTGAAAAAATTGATGAAGTCTTTATTGAATTCGATAGAACGATCAATCTAATTTAATGTTCGAAGATGATTTCATACAAATGTTGTCCGTGG